TTTATTTCATTGTTTGTTAATCTTTATTAATACGCATTTCTGTTACTATAATTGTATGCTAGTAATCAAATGTTGGATATTGTAAACAAGATAAAGACAGAATCTCCTATAACCAACATTTAGGTAGATCAGGGTTGACCTAAAACATCTTATGGTTAAAACTAAGGTTGTAACGGACGCCATAATGGAAGCGGATGCGGATGCGGAGGCGAAGAGCTTCACCGCTGCAGAAGCGGAAGCGGAGGTCAATAATAAAATATGAATTGCGATTTATTAAATAAACAAAAGGGATGCGGAAGCGGTGTTCCGTTACAACCCTAGTTAAAACAACCAATGTTCCGGAAAAATATTTCGTTCAACCCTAACTTAGAACAATTGTATTAATGCTGCATTTATGCAAATGCATTTCCATTCGTAATAATCAAATCACAAATGCTTAGAGCGCACATACCTTTAACAAATTATCGGACAACTGTTTAGTCTCGCTTTGATCCCTTTGAGGTTATATGGAGGTGCGCACACTACTCGAATTTAGTTGTGCAACTAAACAGTTGAATTGCGTGCGAAACAATATACAATCGCACCTAATACAGGTAAAAAAGTTAATGAAAATTATCGACCTGGCCGTACCAAGGTACCGGCGTATTGATGAATTTTGGGACATATACTAATTGGAAGAAACGCAAGTAAATGACAAAACGTATAGACAAATTTATAAACGCACTTGTTGTCTGTTGTCTTCTATTAGTTTATATGAAGGTTCTCTGAATCTATTGAGGTTAAGCGCTTGTAAACGATTATAACATAATAAAATTATACTTGTCCAGCAGTATGTTAGACCATCATAGCTAAGAGTTATTTATTTACTGTTTGAAACATTTTTAATCGAAACAGTCATACAAAGTGTATGACTCAACTATGTGCTTCATGCATATTTGTCATATTCACTGCGATTAAATATAAAAATATAGTTTATTAGATTTCGCCCGCGACTCCGTCCGCGCGGAATTAAAAAAAAAACAAACGCAAGTAGCCTATGTGTTTTTCCAGACTATCCTCTACATTTATGTCAAATTTCATCGAAATCCGTTCAGCCGTTTAGGCTACAAACTCTAACAAACATCCATCCTTCCATTCATCTTAACTTTCGCATTTATAATATTAGTATGATGTGGTTTTATTGTAATATTTTGTTGCTATATAAGAAATAAAATAAACTGTACGATTTTTTGGTTTATCTTTACTATTAATTAAATTGGACATTAAAACAGCGCATGAGGACAATTCTAATAAATAAACTGTGAGAATGAAATCAATCATTTGTAATGAACAGTATTGACTTACGACGTTTACAATGAACTTGAAGTATAATTAAATTAAATAGGAAATCTCTACTATTGTTAACTAGAAGCATGACTTATTTTATATTTTTGTAATAGTTTTGTTAGCTGTAATATGCAAGAATAATGTGGCTTTTTATATGTATAAAACGCATCAAACGAGCAAGCCCCTTACCTTGTTTTAAGTGACCTATCAATAAACAATAGATATAGACAATAAATTAAAAGACCAATCCTATTTTCTCTATTCTCACATCTCTCTCTTTCCCTTTATATGTATGTATATCTTGTCTATATGTATGTATTAAAAGCGGGAACACACCTTTGACGCAACTGTTTCACAACTATAGTGCGATTGTCGATTGTTCGCAGACAATTCAGCTGTGTAGTTTTACGACTAAAAACGAGTAATATGAACACTCATATAAGCTTTTTTTTTAAATATAATATAAGGTGGTAAACGAGCAAGCGGCCACCTGAATCCACCGAAATGGAAAGCAACCGCTGCCTATAAACATCCGCAATTGCAGATGTGTTGCCTACCCTTGATTGACAGAGGAGGAGACGCCCAGAAAGAGGACAATTCTCCTTCCTATGCGTCTCCTCCACCGTCAAATCCACTTTTCCTTTCCATCCTTTAAAAAGGGTGGAAAGGGAAAGAGACTAAAATTAGGCCTCCGGCACCACACTCGTCAAGCGAAACGCGGAATTGCTTCTACTTTACCACTGTTTTCTGTGTGGTCGTTGTATTTCACTGGGCGAGTCGACCCACTCCTGCGAAGATGTTAAAGCGGGCTCTACCACTGCTAAAATAGCTCTTAGAAATCAAAGGGAGACTAAATAATTGTGCGATAGTTTATTCAAAGGTGTACGCGCTCTAAAAGTTGACAAAATATATTTACGTCAACACTCATACCCGTAAATTACGTATTAAATGGGAATTACTTTATGCAGCTTAGTAATGAACGATAATATGTGTAAACAAGTCTTTGTGTAATATATGACTTGTATGTCGACCTTTGTACAAGTTATTTAGTATGTCCTGTATGACATAAAAGTACTAATAAGGTATTAAGAATACAATCGGGGAAACTGTCAGTGTTTCAAATTAACACGTTTACTGTGGCAAGTAAAATCATAATTCTTCATCTAGTGCGGCGGCGGGCCAAAATGCGCCCCCAATGATATTTCCGCCAATGCGTGGCAGGTCTTTATAGACCCACCAGCAATAGCATAGATTAACTTTCTGGAAACACAATTTTTACATTTTATATAATGTAATGTATACACCTGAGATATAAAAAAAAACTACAAAGATAACAAGGTTGCTGCAAAAAACATAGCAGCAGGAAATAAAGAAGGAAAAAAAAATGTATACACCTGAGATAATCGTTTCGCACTAGCGAGAGGGACATAGTTTTCTTCATCCGCACCATTTAAGTATCGCGTCAGGCCGATATCGGCCTGCTACGCAGCGAACATATTAACAAGAACATTTTGTATACTATACGATGGGGAACAATAACCAATAAGACGCAAAACTTGGATGTGATGCTAAAAACTAAAACTACACTTCCGTTTTAAGACACACAATAGATAACAGAGAACTATTTGAAGCTCAAACTGTTATTTTTTTAAACTGTTTTCGTAAGACTTCTTTGTTAAAGAAAGAGGTCAGTTCGGATAGCTGTAGGCGATGTGATATGAATAGTCTTTGAATGGCAGCTTTTTATAAAAAAAAACTATAAAGGTTCATTGTTTACTATGATTACAATTTTTAAAACGTACGTGTTGTTATCTTACTTCTTACTAATATTATAAACTAGCTTTCGCCCGCGACTCCGTCCGCGTGGAATTAAAAAAAACAATACTAAGTAGCATATGTGTTTTCCAGACTATCCTCTACATCCATACCAAATTTCATCAAAATCCGTTCAGCCGTTTAGGCTACAAACTCTAACAAACATCCACCCATCCATCCATCTAAACTTTCGCATTTATAATATTAGCAAGTATGTAAAAGTTTAGATGGATGGATGTTTGTTTGAGTTTGTAGTCTAAACGGCTGAATGGATTTCGATGAAATTTGGCATAGATGTAGAGGATAATCTGGAAAAACACATAGGCTATTCACTTTTGTTTTTTCCAATACCACACCGACGGAGTTGCGGGCGAAAGCTAATAAACTGTAATAGATATCTGATGGCATTCGAACTTACAAGAGTGGAAACAATTTAGACCAGTCTTTTGCAAAGGGCGATAATGACGGTAAAGGCCATTGAAAAATATTGACGGTAATTTTATATTATTGTTAATTTAGCACAAATAAAATAAAGAGGAAGTAATCAATTGTGAAGTTCCAAAATCATCGCTCTTTCTCTTTCTCTTTGTAGTAGGAAAAGTCTCGCATGATACAGTTTTATTTAAACTATAGAAAATATTATGTTGTTTAGATGCACTACAAAAAAACAGATTTCCCAAGACAGCAAATCGAGATATTACAGGTAACAGTTATATTACATATGGACTACAGGTTTTTGTTCAAGTTTTGTATGAGGCGGAAACATCACATGTTCTTAATATACTAGGAAGACATAAGTGTGACGCAATTGGACACATGCAATGCATTCCTGGCGCTGACGTCAGGCAAGGGAAAGTGTACAAGTGTGAAGGTTCCCAAGGGACGTATCTGACGTCTTCCATGGTACATACTATCATCTGTCCCAGACAAAGTACCATTTGAGAATTTTTTTTTTATAATATAAGGTGGCAAACGAACAAGCGGCCACCTGAATCCACCGAAATGGAAAGCGACCGCTGCCCATAAAATCCTCAATTGCAGATGCGTTGCCTTATAACTATCGCATATCGAAAATTCGATAAGTCAAGTGCTTGTACTCGTACGTATATGTTTTAACACATTTTGAAGATTTTATAAGCGATATCGCTAATCGAAAGTCACTTTGTCTAGGGCAGTATAGTAATGAAACTTAGTTTAACCCTAAGTGGTTAGTACCTCAGATGTTACTGGCATCTACTTTGTTAATAACTAGCTGTTGCTCGTGACTTCGCACCCGTGAAATTTAAAAATAATGGAAAAATATAGCATATCATTGACAACGTAGCTTTTAATGAAAGATTTTTTTAAATCGGCCCAGTAGTTTTTAAGTTATTTCAATACATACAAAAATACAAATTTTTCCTCTTTTAAATAGAAATATTTTGGATGTGATAGGTGCATTATATTTTGATATGAAAAGAGAGAAATTGCATATTGTAGGTGTAAATTTAACGGTCGTATTTCACGGTTCACGGAGAGCGTCGGTGGCTCAGTGGTTTGAACACTTGACTTGTAATCCACAGGTCTTGGGTTCGAATCCCGCCCCCGTGTACCAATGTGATTTTCGATTTTTCGAATTTTCATATGTACATAATTTACCCGACGTTCTTACGGTGAAGGAAAACATCGTGATGCAACCTGCACATATCGGCGAAGAAATTCAAAGATATGTGTGAAGTCAACCAACCCGCACTTGGCCAGCGTGGTTGACTATGGCCTAGTCACCCCGTATTAGGGTAGGCTCCGAGCCCCTCGGTGGGGACGTATAGTGAGCTGGTGATGATGATGATGATGATTTCACGGTTATTGTGTTTTTACAGATGTACGCGGGAGCGCTGCTGGCGACTGCCGCCCGGCTGGCGTGGGACCCCAGCACATATACGTGGTTCAGATTCCTGTGTGCAGCGCAGTACAGGGTGTCCGCCGCATACGTGCTGCTTGCTGGTCTCTGGCTGATTGCTCTGGTTTACATCGCGGCAGCTGCACGTCGAGCTGCCTGCCTTCATATCGTATGTATTCACATCATGCTAAAAACTTTGTGAACCTAATGGTTTGGGGTATACCGATACGGTCGAGGGTTCGAATCTGTCATTCGACTATTGTCGTGAACCTTATCCTAGCAAAAGCCTAGAGCTTATTTGGAATAGTATAAAAATATTGGTAAATCAAAATACATTTACTAAAATTTTATACTAAAAAAATATGTACAGGCGCGGAAATCTGCGATGATCCACATTAGGAAAAATTGCCTTGTTTTTTGCAGCGAGAAACTCCGATTCTTCCTACAAATAATTTATTAGAATGATAAAAAAGAAACTAACCGACTTTTCTTACATACACATTTATAAACTGCGTTGTATTGAATTTGTTCCGCGTTTCGTTTCAAAATGTTCAGACGATTGTAATTTTTTGGGTGATTCACCGCCATTTTCCCCAACTGTACAAGGGAACCGGCCGAATATTTGGGGCATAAAGTGCTGACTCAGCGGTAATTCAGCCAATCTAATTCGTCTAATTATCACTGATTGATACCGCCCACTGGTGCAATTGTGAGCTATTTATAAGTGTATCTATGGTACTATAAGACTGCACACATTTGACTTAACTATCGCACAACTGTTTAGTCTCGCTTTGATTCCTATGAGCTTATATGGAGGTACACACTATTCTATTTTTTAATTGTGCAACTAAACAGTGGTCTGCGAAACAATTGACAATCAACAATTGCCCAACAGTTCTGCGATAGTTTAACCAAAGGTGTGCGCGTGCTTTATTTTTTTATTTTGGTGTAACTGGCCACTAATAAATTGTTGAAAGAATAAAAATATAATTTCAGGGTGTTGGGAACTTCATTTGCTAATCGAAAATCGCGTGTTTATTCACAATTATTGTTAGTTGTCGGGAAAACCGTAGTTTTATTGATTCTTTAAAATACTTTACTATGTATAAAGCGTTTCATATGTTCCCCGAGGTCTTAATATTATAAATGCCATAAATCAGATGGATAGAATTTTGGATAAAGGTTCGCAAAAGCTTTGTAATAAGTAGTGTACGCACACCGGAAACTAAACCATCGCACAACTTTAGTCTCCCTTTGATTTCTATGAGCTTATATGGAGTTTACATTACTCGATTTTTAGTTGTGCAACTAAACAGTTGAATTGTCTGTAAAACAATTAATAATCGCACAACAGTTGTGCGATAGTTTAGTCAAAGGTGTGCGGCCGCTCTTAAAATGTTTTGACACGGTTTTGTATATCAAGTCCATTGTAAACTTTTATAGCCTCAGAAACATGAAGCGATTGTTATTTTTTTTTAATTACCAACTTATGTTGTTTCAGTATGCGGGCGGCGTGGCTTGCTTAGCAGTAAGCGAGGTGGCGTACGGCGCGTGGATGGCGGCGTCCCTTGCGGCATGGTGGCGCAGCGCCCCGCAGGCGGAACTCGCGCGGCGGGCAATGGATCTCGTACATGACTTGAAGCCCGCATTGCTCGCCGTCGAACGGTACAGGGACATCGCCAGACCGATATATGACATTATTGAGGTAAGATGTCTAAAAAATGTAAGCTATACACGTTATATCTTACTGACAATCGAGTTTTAAAGTTCCCACATTTAAGCCTAACGTGTGTGGTCTGCATTAAAGACATTAGTTTCAAACCATTTGTTTACATTTCGATTTTGGAAATGTTTTTTTTTTTCTGTATTTCAGGAAGTGGAACGTGAAGCGCCCAATAACGTTGTCGTCATCATCATATTCGGTATAGTCGGAATGATTTTGCAGGTATGTGGTATTTAATCTTGTAGTGTTTACAATATAATAAGCTCTGTACTAGATAAAAAAATAACAATTAATATTTTGACATCATTATTATTCTTCGATATAAGTGACTTTCGTTACATTTGCCTTTGAAAATAGTAAAATTATAAACACATACAGAGTTTATTGCAATATGTACATAAAATAACCATAGGCGCCGCCTGCGGATGAACACTATAGGGGGAATTCCGATAATCAAGGGGGACGGCTAGTGGTAAAAATGCAAGTTATTTTTTGGGGCACTTCCTTCCTCCCACTAGACGCCATTGAAAGCCGTTGACGCTATTTTTAGATGAACCCCTCCCATCTTCCAAATCTAGATAGCAGCATTCGTGATGGCGCGTCGTCTAGCAGTACGGCGACGTAGCGCAGCAGAAGCTGGCCTAGGAGTCAGTGCGGCGAGCTGCAGCAGCGTGGAGCTGGAGAAGCGGCCGTGCGGGCCAGCAGCACACGATGAAGACAGCGACGCGGAGCCCGCGCCAGCGCTGCCCGGCTGCCGCAAGAACGCCAATCTACGCATGTACACTATATTAGACAAGATTTTCTAGCAGGTCAGTTGAGAAATATTTTAACGGGATGTGTTGTGTGGGATATATGTTATAATAAATATTTTTCTAAACAGCTATTTTCATGCATTTTAGGACGAAATGGAAGCAGGCGCGGTCAGTAGTAGTAGGGGGCGGCCGCGCCGCAAAGGGAGGCGTCGTGCGCGCGCGGACGCCGCCGCGGGAATGAGTCGTGACGCGCGGTGGGACGCCGTGCACGCGCAGTTCCGCGCTTCACGCACCCCCCGCGTACCCACCGCACCCCCCGCGCCCACTGCACCCACCGCACCTCCTGCACCCCCCGCGCCACACGCCGCACTACTAATACTGCGGACTGAGCTTTAAGAGAATGCACTACTCATACTATAGAAGTGGTATTATTAAACCAATACTACGTGAATGAGATCGTCACAACACTATTGCTTCACATTCGAACTAGTCAGTGGTTATATAAAAATGGAGTTTTGAACCTTATTGTCTTAAGTTAAAGTCCATTCTTCTGTTATCTTGACATGTTCGAATGTCAAACAATAGTGTTGTGAAGATCTCATTCTCGTACAGAATTGGTTTAATAGTACCACTTCTATAGTATGAGTAGAACGTTATAATAATGTGTTTGGTAAATAAATACTGGTAATTAAATTCAGACGAACACTGCCATCTCGAGATATCTCGGGTATCGTCTTCCTAGCTAATGTTGACTTTGACTTATGTTTTTAACATCAAATATCGCATTTACGAACAAATCTTAATCGAAACTTTTAACGAATTATCCGAATTTCGCTGTAATAATCGAATAGTTGTCGATTATATATCAGCGAAATTCGATTACTATAGATATTAGAATATAAGACAAACCATATCAATAGAACAAATATTTCTAATTTTAGTTTTAATATTCGTAAGTTTGCTTCGTGCGGACTATTTACTACTTTATTCCTAGTATGTTAGTTTTATACATATTTTTATATTAAAAATGATGTTATAGAAAGTTTAGAGTAGATACGTTGATGCTCACTAGGGATGATCGATGTTAAATAGGTTGATATCGATATTAATAAAAATATTTGTACAATCATCGATATGTCAAACTATACTGTTTCTTATATAATGGATTTGTATAACTTTGTCAAGTACCTTTTTGTTTTTATACAATTGATGTTTTTAATATCAATTTACTAGTGTAGTAAACAAAAGTGTTCAGAAATCGATATCTCCTATCGAATATCGATATAACATCGATAAGTATCGGCCATCCCTAGATCTTGCATCTTATTGTTTATGGTAAAAGTTGTTTACTATATGCATAACCTTTTAATTAATCGAATTAATGACAATTCTATATTATATTGAAATAAAAAAAATGTATTTACGGCACAGCCTTTTCTAATAGTTTAAATTGTAAAAAAAATTCAAGTTTAACAATTTGCCCTCTAGATGGCGTTGTTTCTAAAGCGTCATCTGTTAGTGCGTAGCCGAAACGACGGCATAATGTCAAAGTTTTATACAAATATAAACTATTTTAATCTCGAATCCTAGTTAGAAAATGTTCAGTAAACTCTAATCTGACTAAAATACGTAATTTAAGGTAATTTTTATACTTTTAAACTTTAAAATCATGTTAATTTTATATTTTACAAAGCTTCCAACAACCCATAAGTTAAGAACAAGCGTTTTAAATCAGATAAAAAGACAGTTTTAAAATTATTTTACCGTCCAGGCTTTCTGTTTTACGGCATATTAACAGGTGGTTAAGAAAATGTTTTTTTTTTAACAGAAATAAAAATATCCTTAAAACAACATGGACCAAGGTTATTTTTATTTTACGTATGCAAAAATAATGGCTTTAATAACTAAGTTAATTTAACTTGCCACTATGAAAATAAATAAATGCCACATAACCTCTTAGTACTTCGTCAATTTTATTAAGGTAATGAATTTTGGTAAACATCCATATTTGTCTATTTCGCTAGTCTTGCCATAACAAATAACATTGGAAATTATAAATTACCTCAGATATTACGATGGTAACAATATAATTTTAATGAAATGTACGGTATTTACACATTCCAGAATTTTAGCATTAAAAAAAATATATATAGTAAGTTTTATTGCAGTTTAAGTACTAACGCAACCAACAAATGCATTTTTGATTCCATCATTCTGTGATTTGCTTAGTAACAAAGATAATTATTAGAACGTGCATAGATAATACATAATGTTGCCAGCCGCGAGACCGTGGCCTCTCATATTTCTGGTGCCAAATAGCTTTAAGGGAATAACGAGTTTTGTTGCCATAATTAAGGTTGTATAATGCAATTAGGGACGCTTCAACGCTGATTACAAATTCATTTTATTATTTTTTGTCTGTGAAATGTTACTCATAAAAATTCAAAAACTACGTCAATATCCACTTTTCTACAATACTTTTTAAAATAAAAGAAAGTAATTCAATCAATCGATAATATCGAGTTTTCGGTATAATCGATTCACTTGATTTACGATCGACTCGTTCACATCCCTAGTAATGTCACAATGACAACTGTCAAAAAGTCAAAAAGTATAAATGGACCTATTTTATATGTGTTGCAGCGTCTCTGAGGGCGTTAATATTTAGACAATAAGGTGCGTTCGGGATGACCCGAGTAGACAATAAGCGGTAAGCGAGGCGCACAGGCGTTGACACGACACGTGTCAGTATGCAGTTAAGACTTTTGAAGCAATAAAATATTTTTATAAACAAAAAAAATCGTTTTATTTCCAACCTAATTCCTAAGAAAACACACATCAATATACTTGTAACCAATTAAACTATTAAGAAATAAAGAAGACAGAAAAGAGTTTTAACAATTGTTGTAGACAGGGAGTGTTGACCTGACTTTAATTCTCAGATCTGTGGCCACCCCTTTCTGTCCAATGCCCTAACTAAACGCCGAAACTAACAGTATGTTAAAAAAGACAGTAGACGTAATTTCCCCAAAGATTTTTCACCATAGATCTTGGAAAACTTAGTCATTCTGTACTAAGTATTTACCAAAACTTCTTAAAATTTTGGCAATCATAGATAATAACGTATAATCCAGATAGTATATAATCGGTCGGCAGCTGTTTCAGAATAACTGATAGGGTAGATAAGATAAAAGCACCGAACTTAAGATTTCTCAGTCGGCAATCGCCCACCAACAGACATGCATACGAATTACAAAGGCGTGTGACGTGACGACCACGTTGTGGTGAAGTGACAGGAGACAAAGCGTGTAACCTATTGACAAATATTGTGTGAAATGACAAGCTTTGATTGGTTAAATTCTCGGCATGATCAGGCATGACGGTAGTGTGAAGTGACGGTAATAAGGTGTGGTGTGAAGTAGTGGTAATAATTCTTAAGTGTATAGTGGTGGTAATTAATGGTGTGAAGTGACAGTAATATTGTTCTTGATTTGAACGTTATAGGATAAAGTGCATTGACTTGACTATGGCGTGCTGTGGCCGAGCCCTTCCCACCATTTTTTTGCAACTCAATCTCATATTAATGGTAAAGATCTGTAATATTTTAAATTATTTATTTTTAAATGTTTATTATAAGGTATTTTTATCAACTAAACAATTTGATGATTGTTGTTTTGGTAACGATGAATCATGTGTTGAGTGATGTCTTATATAGAAGTCTGCATGAAGTTAGTAGATATCATTCAATACAACGATATCGTTTCTCATATCAGTCCTATTAAAAATTCGAATAAAACACAGACGAATTGCCTCCTCCTTTTTTAAGTCAATTAAAATTATGTTAAAGATATTATTTGGTTACAAAAATCTATTCGTTAGTTTCTTAGTTTGTTTCATAAAATCATTTCATCAAACAAAAATTACATTTGTACTACACTGTCGTCGTTGTCTGTTCGTCTTGTCTTAAAATTCTGACGTGACCTAAATTAATATTATCTTTTATTTGGCAAATTCTGCTTCGTAATCTATTTCTATTTTATCTTATCATAATGCTTGCAGTACAAGAGACCGAATAGCTTAATTATGCCTTAATATCATGTAAACTGATACAAAAATGGGAGTAATTACTTAACAAAAATCATAAACTCTTTAATTACTGTATTATTATTAAATAGCGGATCCATTAATATCAAGTAATCGACATTCGTACATAAACAGCTGTAAAATTACAGATGCCGTTGGCGTTGACTGCAGTCTATTACTATCGAAACACATAAAAAATTTTAATAGCATTAGGAGGCTACCACGAAATAGCGAATTTACCTCCATTTATCGACATCCTCCTCCTCCTTTCTCCTATTTGTATTGGATGAAAGGGTCTAACCCCAAATTCACTTAATTCAATATACCAATAATAACAGAGTGGGAAGTAGTAGAGGACTAAAATCTGGTATCCAGCAAGCACACTCATCAGACAAGATGCGGGATCACTTCCACTGGAAGCCTGTCTTCAAAGTCATGGTATTTCACAGTTCTGGTTGGCTATTCTTGCAGCAGTTATTGGGAGTTCAATCCCAATGGCAGTTGCGGTAGAAGGATTATTCCCAACCGTCACCCCGCTCAGTCCTCACATGGAGATAGATGAGAATAAAATGTTTCGTCCATCCCAGTTTTTGCGAAGAGGGGACGGTTGGAACTGATTTTATTTCATAACAGTTTCATCCGTCGCCTTATTGGTAATATTGGGACGGATAAAACTTTTTATTCTCACGGGGGGTCACAGCGGGGTGACGATTGGAAATGTTACGATGTTATAGATGTACGCGGGCGCGGGTTTCGCGACGGCAGCACGTTTGAAGTGGGACCCGAGTACGTACGTGCCTCTTCGAGAGTTGTTACCGCACGAGTACCGCGCCGCTGCTGCATTGCTGCTTGCCGCGAGCATTGTCCTATTCCTGCTGGCACATCTAGCACTTGCGGCATTGTATTCACGTCGTGCTAGAAGACTGTTACTTGTTATGGTTAGTATACTAAACAGGGTAAAAAGGGTAATTTATTCTGATGAATTTTCAATCTGTAATTGATTTTCACTGCGCACTAAGGGTTAAAATGCAGCAATTGACAACCCCAAACTTCGTTGTGCGATATTTCGGTTCAAAGGTGTACGCCCGCTCTTAGCGAGATGTCAGATATTAACTATTAGTGATGTATGTTGTCAGTATGGCTGCGTGATGGTGATGATGGTGAGCGCCCAGACGGCGTGGGGCTGGTGGACAGGTGTGCGGCTAGCGGGCTGGGCGCACTCAGCACAGGCGGATGATCTGCGCCACGCGATGCGCCTACGCGAGCATTTAGCGCCGCTGCTGCAAGACCTGGCGCAGTGGCACCCTCTACCGCAAAAACTCAACACTATTATCAAGGTATATAACACTGCACTTCACTCTCGCTTCGATCTCCACGGATCATTCAGATTATTGAATTTCATATTTATAATAAGTGCAATATGCGACGTTGTTACAATAGAGGAAAACTTCGTTATGCAAATTGCACATATCTGTGAAGAAATTCAAAGAAATGCGAACTTATACTAGGTCAGCATAGTTGATTAAGTCGCAAATAAATTGCTTTATGTGTGTTTTGCAGGAAGCAGAGGAGGACGCGCCGCGGAACGGATACGTGGCTGTGTCCGCATTAGCTGTGTTCCTGGTAATACAGCCCGCCGCAGCCGCTGTGGCCCTCATATTGGCCGCACGGACACAACCCCCGCAAATTGACGACCAAAATCATAGGTAACACCGCTAATGCTTCAACCGCCACACACGCTATGCTAAAACAGCTGTTGCACGATTGACGGGACAATAAAATACCTCGCAGGTATTAGGCATTAGAAAAATTGGCTTGTTCCTTGCAAGGAGACAAAGTCACCCTATTTTCACTATTAACCGATTGCGTAGTTAGGTACGCAAAAGTTAAAAGCTGCGACCTATTGGTTATTATTCCGCCCCGACAAAATGTGTACAAAACATTCAAGCGAATGTCGATTTTAAGGTGAAGCATAGATGGATGTACCGACTGTACATATTGTCTATTACCTTGTGATTTATGTATGGCATTAAATAGATGTAATAAACGCGAGGATAAGTGCAATGTCTTGTAGTAACAGCTGTTATCTTTCAGCGTCAGCACAAGTTTGGACAGCGAGAGGCGACCTCTGCGAGCGGCGTACAAGAATGGACGACTTGTTATGATATAAATCATGTTGTTGATGGACTCATAAGTTCTCACTTTCGAAAAAACCTGTACAAAAATATCTTAGTTATGCATAAAATCATAATACAATGAGTAAGAGCGATGTTTGACTCATTCATAATGAAAAGATATGGTAACTATTTTTTAGGTTATAAAAATAGGAACATTTTGATATTGTATACTCTGTACCATCGATATTATTTTTTTAGTTTATATTTTGAAGATTAGATTGTCGACATCGACTATAACTTTGCACACTTTTGCATACATGTAAAATTTATTTGTAAATTAAAGTGTTTTTAAAGTTATATCGTGTTCCAATGCTCATTTAATTTCAAATTTGAATATGTACGAAATAACTAATTTAGTTCTGTGGTAATTTCTTAAATACGAATTGAGTTAAATGTAACTAAACTGTAATGTTAAGACTGTGTTGTTAATTATGTTTTTGTATACGAGATGTTTATTTTCTGTCATTCTGTTACGTTTACACTATGAAAATGTAAATTTAAATAAAGCTGTTTAATTAAGGAATTTAGTTTATAAGAATGTTTAACTGCCAATAAGCTATAACGAAAATTAAAAAAATAATAAAGATACTTTTTTAATTAACTGTCGTTATTGTCACCAACCATTGACCTGTACCTAAAAAACTAGTATTTCATTCGCATTGTAAAGCGTATAAGAGCGGGATCACATCTTTGACTAAACTATAACACTACTGTTGTGCGACTGTCGATTGTTTCGAAGCCTATTCAACTGATAAGTTGCACAAAGAAATCGAATAGTGTGCCCACCATAGAGCTCGAAGGAATCAAAGCGCGACTAAAAAGTCGTGATAGTTTAGTCAAAGATGTACGTGCGCTCTTAGGTAAATACTCATCATCATCATCACCAGCTCACTATACGTCTCCACCGATGGGCTCGGAGCCTACTCTAAGTTAGGGGTGATTGGGCCATAGTCAACCACGCTGGCCAATTGAGGGTTGTTTTACTTCACACATATATCTTTGAATTTGTTCGCTATGTGCAGGCATTACGACGTTTTCCTTCACCGTAAGAACGTCAGGTAATTATGTACATATGAAAATTCCAGAAGTCGAAAATCATATTGATGGCGGGATTCGAACCCAAGACTGTAGGTTACAAGGCAAGTGCTTGAACGACTGGGCCACCGACACTTTAGGTAACTACTAGGGTTGCATAAATAAAACAGCCAAATTGAATAGTTCAACATTGATTTTAATACATCAGAAGTTGAGAGCCGGCGCTCAGGCGCGCGGACGCCGTGCAAAAATATATAACTGTGCTTCGCCGCGAACGTATCTCACAACAAACCTATGTATACATATATAGCTATTATTTAGAATATTCACTACATAGTCAACAAAAATATAGAATCATTAGATAGAGCAATGCGCCGATTTTGTGTGACGTGTTTGTAACGTGACGTGCTCAAAGTAAACTCAACACTCAATTGAGCTGAGGAATTGAGTGACGTTAACTCTTAAAGTATTAACACATTACATGTATTCACAATTTTTTTTTTGTTTATTTTCAGCCAATACTAGTTAGTGCAGTTTTTTCTTTTTTTTGTTCTTTTTCACATTTACACATTTATTAAATAATTCTCTAATAACAAATACAATCAGAGTTTTATCATACCGTTGGACATAAACCTTAGCATAGTCACGAGAGCGTTTAGAATTCTCCATATTTAAGACATCAGATAGGCGCTTCACTCCATCTTAATACATCTACACATCACACTATGATATGATACTGTTAGCTCACATACATACATCATAAAAATATAATTTATAATTACATTGAAGTAGCGATAGTGAATAAACTGCCGACGAACTTTGACAACTCAACAATGAGCACTGATTCTCACAACTGGAGTTATTACTCAAATATTTAATTGTAATAATTTCAATTGTTTAAAAATAAAGTGACACGGCATTTATTTTGTTATCTATTTTACTGCTATTTTACAAAAATTTAAACTTCACAAAATAGTTAACCTTAAAATTGACAACGGTCTACCGGTCTAGTTTATTTGGTGTCAATAATATGTACAATGAAATCCTACTTTCATTGTAGGACGTGGTTTGGTTATTTACAATGAAAATAATATTTTTGGGGAAAGGTTAGTCGTGAACTACGGCTATTTTCACTGAGTGCGTGTTACACAACGTATTTCATAAACTAATCTGTCGTCAGCAGAATTCAATAGCGTTTGTAAAGCGTATTTACAACAGCACAAGTATTCATCGACGAAACTTTAACATCTAGTAAATACAGGACGATAGGATCAACATGAAATATCCAACAAAAGCAACAATAACATCTCAGAATAACAATTGTGTTTCCACTACCACATACATATAATTTGTTTTGTATTTTTTATATATTTAAAAGGAATATATTTGGTTAACATGGACTTAAGAGTAAAGCAACATTGTGCTTGTAATTTGGGTTTGAGGTTAGTTGGTTGCCCGGGGGGATGTGGAGGGAGGTGGGGCGCTTATCTGTATGCGGGGCCAGGAGCGGGGGCAGCCTGCTCCGCCAGGAAGGGGTTGGAGGGACGAGGGGGCGGGGCACCCGGCACGCTCAGGCTATCCGCGCCCGCGTAGCTCTGCAACAAAAATACGAATAAAACGATACTATATTAACAAAAAAATTGTAGCAAATATTTGTATTCTGAAGGTTTACCTGTGTAGCACCATAAGAGTCATGGTTGGCGAGGTCTGCGAGGCGCGTGGAGGAGAGTGCGCGTGGCAGCGGGTTGGAGGGCACGCCGTGCGGCGCCAGCACGCCAGCCTCCGCCAGCGCGCGTGCCTCCTCCTCCGCCGCGCCGCCTCCGCCCGCGCCGCCAGCAGCCTCTCCGCCGTCGCGGAAGTTCACGAAAGCGAATGCCGCCAGCGCCACTCCGCACAACAACCCGTAGCCTGATATATAATATCAAAGAGCTACTACCGAAGAGGTCGCAATCCATAGCAAAGCTAATTTCGATAATTAGAATCGCAGATCAATAGCGGCAACTGTTACTCAAAGAGACCAGCTTCAAGAAGCAAAAAAGAATTAGAAATAGCGACTGAAAGTGTGAAATCAACTATGAAATGATTCTCTCCCGGTGTACCTGCAAAAGTCCTGGTAGTGCCCCATCGTGTGACCGCGATGCCGCCAAGCACGGCGCCGCAGCCGCGGCCGAGGCCGTGGTGCAGGCCTTGCAGCACTCCCTGGGCGGAGGAGCGCAGGCGCGGCGGTGCGCCGTGCGCAATATATGAGCAGCAGGCCGCCCACACCGCTGCGTGAGTCACGCCTTGCACGAACTCGAAAGGCAGCACCCACCATGGGTCCGGCAGCCACGCTATGTATAGGAACCGGAGCACGTTGCCCGCCAAACCCAAGCACAGCACCTGGGAAACGACAAAGTTAAAATTGCGAAGCATATAGCAGTAGTTAAAACTTGTCAGTAAAATACCTTAACGTGTCCCATTTGAGTGATCAGTTTAAAGCTGAAGAAGTATGCGAAGATCTCAGAGATGTGGTTGATGACGGAGGCGACGCCGAACAGCGTGGGCGAACCTCCTTTGTCCTATAAGTAAAATAAATCTGATCAATGTGTTTTCAAATCAATCAAATTTTTACCCAAATAAGATAAACAAGATAGAAGACCTGCAGATGCCAGAAGAGGAATGTAAAGATGAGTCCGATGCCGAAGCCCATGAACCAAGCAACCAGTAAGAAGGAAGCGGCCTTCACGTTCTGGAACTGGCGCAGCACCGTCACCCACTCCGGCATCTCGCGTGTAGTCTGAGCGAAAACCTGCACACGAACCCACCAACATATTACTGTCCTGCTCACACACTAAGTGTGGATTAATATGTATCTCTGTCTTATGTGGCTTTCCATCAATCGTCATCTCAATAGTTAATCTGAACTGCAAATATGGTTATCCCCTTCTGTTCCCAATTGAATTGAGGGGCTTTCTTAACAAAGCTGAAGTTATTTTAAGAACAAAAGGTGAACAAGTTTTTCAAGTATCGATTGTTCAAGGTGAGATTTAATTTATTCCGCTGTTGGACAAAGTTGTACAAAGTGAGTTTTATAAATCGGCGACCGAATTAGCTTTACTTCTTTTACCTTTAAAGCCAAGAGAAAATTTAAAATTAAGCTGATAGAAGTTTCTTCGATCAATTGTTTTAACTTGACCTGTAAGGGGACAAGGTACATTAGTGTTTGGTATACCTTAGCCTGTTCGAGTGGGGGCTGTGGGCGCGCGGGGGCGCTAGTATCGAGTCCCGGCAGCTGAAGCTGTTCCGCGAGCTGCTGCTGCAGCTTCTCCTCGCGGGTGGGAGACTGCGGGGCGGCGGTTACCATCGGCTCTGGCGGCAGCTCCTCGTACTTGAACTTCACCTGTATCATCGAGTTCGAGATATTACTCTCAAACACCACCGAAAATAAACCAAAAAGTCACGTGCGTGGATCAACTCATAGTTGATCAATATGACCGATTAGTTAGCAAAAGACCAGACCTGTGTTGCGGTGATGAGGGCAGCGCCCATGAGAACAGAGAATGTGGCGAAGCAGATGGTATAGTTCTTTTCGTAGCGCTGCGGGCCGCCGCAGGGGTGCTTGCTAAACGCCGTGCTGTGGTCCAGCGCGATGCCCACAAAGAACATCGCCAGACCCCAGCCCAGCGAGCCGAACATACGCTGGTGGCCGTATCTATAGCGTAACAAAATGTATTAGGTTAAGAGGTTTGGTATGAAAAGGAAGACTCAAAAGCGAAATGAAACTCACCTATCTGCGTCCTCCCCCAACAAGGTGATAACAGCAGAATCAGCAAGAGTAATCGCAGGTGCGCTAAAGAACTCTCCAATAACCACCAGCAAGAGAAGTAAAAAGAAGGTCTTCTGGATATCTGGCGTACTGTACACGATAAATGAATGTAGAGGAGTCACCCAATTACCGTTAGTATTCGGATCATAGTCGATAGCATCATCTACCGGTAACGGAGAGCCAACGTGAGCTGCCGCGGCCGACCTATGGAAGGAACGAAACTCGTTCTTCGTCCACTCGTCATCATAGCTAGGGGTGTCGAGACGGTAGTCAGTCTTGTTGACAGGGTGGACGCAGGCCACAGCGCTCGGCTGCACCCAGCTCAGCGGCAGCGTGAAGATTATCCAAGCGCCAAGAGAAGCGAGGAGAAGTGTGCGCCCCTTTTGCCATCGATCCGCTAGTCCTCCCCAAAAAGGAGCTGACAGGAATTCAACGAAAGGCCGAGTCCCGATGAGCAAGCCGCATTGGCCGGCGTTCATGCCCATCTGCTTGAAGTAGACGCCCATCAAGGGGAAGAGGGAGCCGAATGCAGAGTAGAAGAAGAAATAGAATGTCTTGACGGTGAGGAGTTCAGGGTCGACGGCGCCGGGGCCGCACATCAACTCCAACAAGTCGCTGCGCCCTCGCACCTTGTTCGTAGCATCCTTCGGTGCTGGGTACCTGTCCAAATTGTGTTTTATTTTAATACTAATAAAGTAGTATCTAAACAACAATCATCACTGATCACTGTTGTTTGCAAATAATTTCATAAGTAATATTACCATCCTCAACAAGAGTTTCATAGAAAACGTTATAAAAACTTTTGCAATAATCCTAAGTTCCTAATAAATAAGATACTTCTTTACTTTGTAAAAACATTAGCAAGAAGTAAAGCGTTCGGAAGCGTGTGACCCCGCTCTGTGTTACAACACAAACATCGACAAATCAATACAGGCGATGTTACCAACAGGAAAACAGACCTCGCAAAATGAAGGATCGAAAAATCTTTGAGGATTACAATGTTAATTCTACTAAGGAAAAATATAAGAGAATAAATTGTGCTTGTTGACGAACATGGGAAATAAACGTAAGAAAAAAATATTCCTACTTATATTTTTATTACGTTAATATGTTACTTAACTTCCTAAAAATAATAATCTATGTAATATTTATGTTTTAATTTCATTACAAATAAACATTTCCATATATAAAATATTTTGCAAATGTATTCGCAGTATTTTCCTGGCGAGAAATCAATAGAGACTGATCTTGAAAAATGACCGTACCATTGTACCCTCGCACAGTAATATTTGCGATAATCATTATTTTATCCAATGCTTACTGCTGCACACATAATGTTAAACTAAGGGTGACAATTAGTGCGATTTACGTATACTGGTTTAGTTAAGAATTCCTTTAATTAAAAAAATTACAGATCATTCTTAACATTCAAAAATCTATGTCTTTTTTATAAGAGAAGTGTGCAAACGAGCGCCGCTAACATTGAGATGCTGACATAACAACGCCCATAGAATCAACGTAATGCTAAAATTTTCTGATCGAGCGAGCTTTGTAGGTCAGGGTCAAGTTGGTTAGATATAGGTCACAACTGAAGAGTGGGGAAATCCCCTGATAACGTATAAGCGAAAATTATAGATAATTGGGTTTTTAAATTTATTATTTCCTTAAGCAACTGCTTGTTAACTCTGTGTCTATTCTGGAATGTTTTAGCTATATCTTGTGTCTATCTTAAAACAAGATTTACTAAATGTTTTTGGCTTATTATACTATTCCTATATAATTTAGATATTGATTACAAGTTCTTTGTTGTTTATTGATAAATCACATCATGTACATTGACCACATTTTCAACAACCCCGACGTCATCATATCATATCCTAATAAGTAGAGAATCTTAAACATTTTGCAGGCAAACTTCATTCACTTGATATTTTGAAGGTGGCACAGACCTGGAGGTGTCGACCTCGCCGGTCTCATCTGGGCGGACGAGGGGCCGCGCGGCGGGTGCGGGGGGCGCGAGGGGTGCGGGCTCGTGCGGCGGCTCCATGGCGCGGACTGCCGCCGCCGAGGCCAGCACAGCGCTCGATGCTGTCGCGCAGGCGCACTGGACTGATCTGCCACGCATGCGCAAACCCAGCCCCGACACCGGCAGGCGCCCGCCCGTCTACAGCCTAACGATCTGACCTGAGAACACACCTAACTCTTAAATTTCCTCTAGATTAACATTACTGTAGTCCATAAATTTGTCTTAGATTATTCTGACCTAATAACTAGGTATCTACTATTATGTTTAGACTATAGATTTGTTTTGTTGTATTTCTACTTTTGTGGTCTCTTGTCATAAAAATTGAATATACAATCATATGGCTCTCTTTTGAATGCAACAGAAATGTATATTACATAAATCTTTTGTTATCTCAAATTTCTCTAGTCTTGTAAATCCTTGTCTAAATCTAATTAATTTAAAAGCATGTTCCTCAGTACAGCTGGATGTTGAGGCTGAAGTGTTTGTTTGAGAGGAACGACCGCGTTAGCTAACTGGAAATTGGCACATGTTAAATAGGGGTTGTCAAAAGGTTGCCAACTGATTTTTATGTTGAATCAAAACTACTGGGCCGATTTCAAAAATTCTTTCACCATTAGAAAGCTACATTATCGCTGAGTAACAAAGGCTATATTTTTAAATTTTACGTGGACGAAGTCGCGAGCAAGTTAGTCTGAAATAATCTGAGATTCATGTAAGGGGTTAAGTAAGAGAGATCTAACGACTCTAAGAAGTATTTAATAAAATTTATGGATGAATTGATATTTGTTACTATGCATCTCCAAAACAAACGGGTTTTACTGAAATTTGGCATAGCTGTAGAACAGTTTGGAAAATCACATAGACTAATAAATAAGTTTTTTCGTTATTCAGGCAGCGTCGCAGGCAACAGTTAGTATCAAGAATAAATTTGTATTACGTCACAAAGGTAATTCGTTCCATCGGGGGTGCTACGGCGTAGCGCGGTGTAGAGCTTTATCTAACGAAATATCGTGGTCAAGTGTCTACGCATCATCTATTATTAACTTTATGATATACGATGATAGAAGTTGATTATTACATGATGTCTTTCTAAATTTATGTATATTTAAAACTCAAATTTATGAGACTAAATTGTAATCAATAATCTTACTCTTACTAATATTATAAATGTGAAAGTTTAGATGGATGGATGTTTGTTAGAGTTTGTAGCCTAAACGGCTGAACGGATCACAATGAAATTTGGCATTGACGTAGAGTAGTCTGGAAAAACACATAGGCTACTTACTTTTGTTTTTTTTCTTTATTTCCACGCGGACGGAGTCGCGGGCGAAAGCTAGTAATATTATAAATGTGAATGTTTAGATGGATGGATGGATGGATGTTTGTTAGAGTTTGTAGCCTAAACTGCTAAACGGATTTCAATGAAATTTGGCATAGATGTAGAGGATAGTCTGGAAGAACACATAGGCTACTTGGTTTTGTTTTTTTTATTCCACGCGGACAGAGTGGCAAGCGAATCAGTCACTAATACTTATTACGTTTTTTACAAAGTTCATTTAACAAAACAAATAGTTGGAAAGCAGTTAACGTAAGAGCCTTGGTATTATAATGTAATCTAATTTCAAATTAAAATAAAAAAAATCTATTTAGAAGCTAGAGGATAATGAAATCAAAAGCTTTACTTCAATTATAATCTTTATTAAAAATGTTACAGTTAACATTTAGTTCCAGTTTCCTAGTTTCTAATTAATATAAATAGAAAAGCAAATCTCTAAAAGTAATAAAAAATAAAAACTATTGCTATTATTTTTAATTTGTGTTAATTTGTGAAAATTGTCAAAGAAGTTAAACTTTTAATGATTCTGTTTCGAGAAAGCCAAAAAACTTTTTATAGAAGTTATTTGGTAAAGGCTTTATGGAATGTCATACCATGTCTAAAAAAGTTTTATTAATAGTGAAAGTGACTTTATGAAAATTGTTTGAAATAGTAAATTTTAATCGAGCTACAATGTTAAGTTTACCAACTGCTAACTAGATTAAAAAAAACTAGATAATTAATGATTTGTTAAACATAGACAAAATTTTGATTTTTTATGTAACATTTACACACCATAGAGTCGAACGCAACATTAACAACGTATTAATACTCCGATATTAAGTTTTCATATAACCGTTATAGCGTTAAAATAGCTGTTAAATAACTTCAAGGTCTAGGCGTTGTATGTCTAGCTAGACGTAAACTGGCTGCATGCATCGAAGACCGTCTCGCGCTAGCCCGGGCTCGTAACCTTGGTGTTTGTTCACGAGACCCGACCACCTCCTCCAGCGAACCCCCTGACCCTGACCCCTCACGAGACCCATCCCTGGAAGTAGACTCCACCAACTCAGCGAGACCTGCAGACCCCGACCGAGCTGGGGACTCCGGGGTGGGCGGTAACAGTGGCCCGTATAATGGCTTCTCAGAACGTTCTAGACTGAACACGAAGCGGATTTCAGTCCATAATCGACGTCTGTAGGACTCCGATGGGTCCCTAGGATGCCTAGCGGCGGCCCACGCCAGGTCACAGAAGGAGACCACCACTCCCAGCGCACAACCCACCACCAGCACCACGAATAGACCGAGGAAGCTGTTCATGTCCAGTTCTTCACCGCCGTGCTCTTCTTCTTCCTATGGAGTACAATATTTTTAAATAGATACTTCTGTATGGTGTAAAGAAAAGCTGGAAATCATGAATTTAAATGTTTTCTTGAACAATCAAGTCCGTAACCTAGATATGATCTTTACATCAACATTTATTTACCGCTTAGATTACCTTCATTATGCTTTCCTAGCTCATTATTAATTTATTTAATTACATTTCAATAAATAAATCTTTCAATTGCAAATATCAAAATCAAAATGCTTAAATAACAACGAAAACGTCGTCCGCAAACTTCGTTGCGCAAATTTGGACCACCCGTTACACCATTTTGACAGCGCGGAATTAAAAAAATAGCCTATAATATTAAATAGGCCATTTTATTAATACATTAATTATTGTAAAAAAAAGTAGCCCGTCTATGTCAGCTACCCTTCTGTGAAAGTCAGGTCGAAATCGGATTTCGGAGATTACCTGGAACAAACGCGGCTTGCGGACAGACAGACAGACAAAAAAATGAAATACGATATTCGTTGTCGCAACGCAAATACATCAACTTCCCAAAATCAGGATTTTTTCTTTTGATATTACAGACTCCAATTTTATTATATGTATAGGTATACTAGATGATTTGAAAGCCCTATCCTAGTTTGCAGTGTTTATGCAGCGGAGACCTTGCAGGCGCCGCCGCCGTGCATCTCCTGCCACCAGCGCTGCTTCATCTCGCGCAGCTCGCCCGCCTCCTGCAGGTTCAGCAGCGCCAGGTTCATGGCCTGCCGGTACTCCGAGTCTGCCGCAACCAGACATTCCACAATAAAGAGAAGCATAGCTCTCACTTCACTTGACACATTCACATGATCTAAAACTATTTATTGATAGGTCCTCAAAACATGTCAAAATGATTCCAGTGAGTTCCTTTTCAGAGCCGCGGTGTCAAGAACGATAGTCGCCCTAATGATCGCCGAACTTCGGAAGAAGATGGCACTTTAAGGAGAAGAAGTGAGTTCCTTGGAGATCCCGGAACCATCGACTATGTCACTTGAGGATGGCCACCGAGGGGTTTTTAATAGGTGAAATCCAACATAACCCTGCCTTCCCCCCAGAAGACTATGTATCTTTGGAAGATTTCCCCCTAACACCATAAAATAAAAAGGTGTCATTAAATTAAATTTAGTGTTTGTTTTCTTTTATGACAAAAGATGGAGCTTATTATAATTTTGTAAAATGTATAACAAATACAAGGACACGAGATGACACTAAACTTGACAACTGACATACCATTCAAAGTTACCGGTGAAAATATGTTCACTATGTCTAGTCTACATATTCCTTAGTCTTTGGTCATAACAATAATTACTTCGCACTGATATCATAGATCATGAAATCTTCTCCGAATCTAATCTAACAATAAAAGGAACAAACGTTTTAATATCTTTTGCTGAATTACTGTAAAGACTTGAGAAATATTAATGTTCGCCTTAACTGGTAAACGGATTTGGACAAAATTTGGCATATATGTAGACATAATCTGAAATAACACATAGGCATACTTTTTAATGCCACTCGAATTGAGTCACGGAAGAAAGTTAGTATTGCATAAAAGTCAAAACTTACTTTTTTTCATAGCGATGCCATATCCTTTGCTGTCCAAAGGTTCCCCCACCTAGAAAAATGAAAATAATACAATAAAATAATACACCTTTCGGGTAAAAAATATCATGCGTTTAGCTAACCTAATCGTATTATTGTCTCAATTTTATCAAGGGAAAGGAAATAAATTTCATTTAATATTATAAATGCGAAAGTTTACATGGATGGATGTTTGTTAGAAGGTTATCCATAACGGCTTAATGGATCTCGATTAGACATCTGGAATACAGAGGCTACTTACTATTTTTTTTAATTCCGCACGAACAGAGTCGCGGGAAAAGCTACTAACAAATTAAATTCTATACAAGAATTTCTTCAGCACATATGTATTAAAGCCTGTTTTTGGATTAGGCGAGTTTTCTACAAGACCCCTTGACAGTAATACGCTGACAAAATTTTATAAAGGGCCGCCCAGGGCGCCCCTTTTCCGCCCTGGGCTATCGCCCTAGCCCTACCCTATGCAGAGAATACTGACCATAGTAATATCGCACTGTCGCTCTATGTTGTATTCTATTGACGTCGACTCCATGAAGAAGGCGTAATTCTCGTTCCTCACTCTGTTAAATAAAGTATTTGTTTAAAAAACTGTTGAAATAAAGCTGCTTCTAAGATCAAAATAACGGTTACTTCTCGATCCCTGCTACGTTAGAATCCGGCTGCTTCTCGTCCTTCATCTTTTGATACATTTGTTGGTAGAGTGCGTTCTGAGATATCTGGAAACAAATCATTAAATAATAACATTCAAAATTATTAAGAACATATTTAGATCGATATGAAAAATTGGATTAAACATGATTTCTGATTAATAAGCGGAGCACTAAAAAGAAGTTATGACGTATAAATACTCTTTGAGCTTTACCTCATTTTGATTACATACTCTATGACCTTCAGTTCATAGAGCATGTAATCGATTATTAACTACATACTCTGTGATCTTTACTCATAGAGTGTGTAATTATTTTTTATTTACATACTCTATGACCTGAAGGGGTGTTCTCATGGAGTATGTAATAAATTACTATGAGTTGAGGATCATAGAGTATGTAGTCAATATTTTTTGTCTCCAGCATTTGAAGTTTACCTCAAAGAATGTGTAAGTAGATCCCCCTGCTTTAGCCCCGAATTTAATCCCGTAGGGGTTGTCAGCGAGCTCCTGCACGTTGTGTATGAGGTCTGTGGGGGTCTTCTTGGCCAGCAGCGTGGCCAGGTTGGCGGTGTAGGAGCTGGTGATGACCAGCGCGAACAGCCACCAAGCGCTCGCCACCGCCCGCGTGCCGTACGCACTGGTATTATAACCGTATAGATTATTCCGGTTATGCCAGTTCTATAGAGAATATGCTGGCATATGTGTTGATTGGAATTAAATTTAGAGAAAATTCAGTTTTGTTTTCATGTTTTTATGTGAAAAGTGATCTTCGTTTTTATTCACTTCAATATTTTCTTAAACCTTAATTCGATGGTGTCCAGTGTGAACAATTAATTAAAAAAATCTATTGAACTATATAATTTGATATCCAAAAATACGACTTTACTACAAAAAGTATTGTATTTGCTACAAAAACTTTCGTCGAATTAATGGTTAAAGAGGGTTTTTTATATTACTAGTTAGTAAAAAGTAACATTATTAATGATAAAGCTTGGATGGATGGACGTATGGATGTATGTTAGATCACCAGAACAACTAAATGGATCTCGCTGAAATTTGGTGTAAATGTAAAAAAGTACTGGAAGACTACAAATACTAGTTAACTATTTTATCTACGCAAAGTCACAGGCAACAACTAGTAAGTAGAGATGCAAACTTACACTGGTGCTATTTCAGAGCCTTGGAGTAAAACAGCTCCGAGGTTGAACCAGAGCGCATTCGCGAGGGTGAACTGGTTCTCCAAGGCGGGAGGGTCCTCGATGCAGGGGTAGGGGTTTTGCCACTCCTCGGGGCAGAGCCTCCCCACCACGTACAGCACCAGCGACGTGCCCAGGTACGCGAACCCCAGGCACACCCACACCTGGGCACCACATCGAGTTATCCCAGACACTCTTGAAGACAGCACTGGATATGCTAATAGCTGACACACTTTTATGAAAAACACTGGTACTTGTCAGTAACAGGCATATGTATGACAGTAACTGGCATGCCAGTAACTATTACAATCGATGAGAAGGCTACGGATATACGAGAGACAAGGGGCTTCATAACTTGACACTGACCAAACTAATGCACTGTTATTCAATCTATTCCATTTTACTGGTAAATAATTCGGTATTGCGCCAGTAACTGGTATAGTACTATACCATTGTACTGGCATGTGTATTCTCGACCAATAGGTACGAAAACTAAAAGATATAGGAGAAATGGTTACAGTATGCATCAAATAACAAAAAAACAAGACTATAGTAACAACTTGGCACATAAGGAATAAGAGTGCTCTTGAACTCTACGTGCCAACTCAAGTCCTGTGTATGATTTATAATGTAGAATGTTTGTCTTTTGTCTGTCTGTCTGTGCGTGTGTTACCCCGCTGGAGAAGGGCAGCAGGAAGGCGAAGAAGGCGGGTCCCGGCGGCTTGGGCTTGCGGAAGAGGATGCTGATGCCGAGGTTCATGAAGGGCGTGGTGAAGTCCACGGCGCGCTCGCGGTCCGCCGTTATCGTCAGATCCGTGATCGCGAACTGGATGTCCTTCACACAGAAATAAAACCTTTTACATGTACCTTCGTTCCTCGGTTATAAGTATTTCTGTTATAAATTTTAAAACGGAAAACAATACGCTTTGTGTTTAAGGCAGTAAAATACTATGGTCTTCAAACAACTGTATCAAATCGCAAAGACTGACTACTGTCTGGGTAAAATGATAATACATCAGGAAACACACTCTCCTCTAGGGTGGAAATTAATAAAAAATAGTGTTTTAATATAAGATGTGCCAGGCTGCAAGTGATGCCTAGACTGTTTCTCTCACGAGGCGTCCAACAAAATAAATAGGGCCTTGGAGACTCGTGTGGTGGTGGGGCGGTTGTGCAGTGGTGTGGTTGTAGTGTGATGAAAAGGTGTAGTTGAATTGTAGTGAATTGGTTGTGCAGTGGTGTGGTTGTAGTGGGGTTGTGAAGTGGTGTGGTTGTAGTGTAATGGATTGGTTGTGCAGTGGTGTGGTTGTACTATAGTGGATTGGTTGTGAAGTGGCGTGGTTGTAGTGTAATGGATTGGTTGTGCAGTGGTGTCGTTGTGAAGTGGTGTAGTTGTATTGTAGTGAAGTGGTGTAGTGTCAATTACGGGGTCATCCATGAGGCGGCGCATCATGCCATTCCAGCCGCGTGTAGGCGAGTAGCTGCCGTACACGCCGTTCTCCTGCTCGATGAACGTGTAGTTGAAGTTCAGAAGCTTTGCCAACTTCTCTATCAGCTCGATGCAGTACCCTGCGACACCAAAACATTAATACCCAAGACACGACAACCCAAAAAGCAAAGCCAATGTAACGTAAAAAACTGTAGTTAAAAACGAACACATTTTTTTTATGTTAAATTCATTGCAACAAATTAAATCCATTTTAAGTTCATAATAAATTGGCAAGTATTAAATGTTATATTTTTATCTAATTGTCCCTAACCGTTACCAACTTCCTTGTACCGTACCTTCGTACCGGTTGTTGCCGGAGAGGCGGTCAGTCGACTGCTGGATCATCACGTATGGATCGTTCTGGAAATTATTTAATCACTGATTGCATTAAAGACTCAATAAAACGTTGGATCACCTTGTACTACATGTTAAACTATGTTATGTTAAACTTCGTTATTTTAAAATGTATTATGTTAAACTATGTTATGTTAAACTATATTATGTTGAACTATGTTATGTTAAACTTTGTAATTTTGAACTATTGTTTTGTTGAACTATATTATGTTGTATTAAGTTATGCAATATCACCAGTGCGATGAGTATGTTGAAGGTGCGGTTGGTCATGATGTCGGAGGGCGGGTCTGGCGCGGGCGCGTCGCGGCGCTGCCAGGCGAGGCCGGTGCGGGGGGCCCAGCGCGCCACCGCCCCCGCGCGCCCCCCGCGCTGCAGCTCATGCACCGACAGCGCCGCCGCCCGCCGCGCGCCCCCCGCGCCCCAGCGCAGCGCGCCCCCCGCGCCGCCCCACTCCTCCTGCACCGCCTCACTTATACACCCTGAGACTCTTACTCTATGGTAGCACATTTAACAAATACATAGACTAGAAATAGGGAACATTTATTCACCGGTAACTTCTTTTAAAGGTCTATGAGTTGTCAAGAATAGTGCCACCTCGTGTTCTTATATTGACATGTTATAAAAAGATTTTACAAAATTATAAGTTCCATATTTGCATTTTTTCTCTCCATAAAACAAACACTTAAATTTTATTTAATATTGTCCTATTGTCAACTAATTTCAATACAGTTTATTATACGACGTTCTTACGGTGAAGGAAAACATCGTGATGCAACCTGCACATATCGGCGAAGAAATTCAAAGATATGTATGAAGTCAACCACTCGCACTTGGCTAGCGTGACTATGGCCTAGTCACTAACTTAGGGTAGGCTCCGAGCCCCTCGGTGGGGACGGATAGTGAGGTGGTAATGATGAGATATACCGATCGTATATAGTTTAGCAGGGTATCAGCATGGAAGGCTGCGCAGCCGGTGCAGGAGGCGCCCGCGACGGCCGGCAGCTGCAGCTGCTGCAGCGCGGCGGCGGCAGCACGCGCAGCGTCGTGTGCCAGCACTAGTTCGCTGGCGGCGCCCTCGCCCTCCCCCGCCGCCAGCCGCCGCGCGTACGCCCGCCGCCAGCGCGCCACCAGTGCGGTTACACGCTCCGACTCCGGGTCGAATAAGTGTATACCTTTGACGAATACCACACATCTATGGCTTCAGGTCTTCCAGTTGAGCAGTCAAACGCATAAACGTCGCTAGGTGATGATCTAGTATAACCTGACCAGAGTACATAGTCTTACAGCTATTTCATTACATACTTGCTTTCGCCCGCAACTACGTCCGCGTGGTGTTAAAAAAACAAAAGTAAGCAGCCTATGTTTTCCAGGCTCTCCTCTACAACTACACCGAATTTCATCGTGGTCAGTTCAACAGTGACTACAAACTCTAACAAACATCCATACATCTAAACTAGCATTTACAATATTAATAAGAAGTAAGTTTTATAACTATTTCATAAGACAACAGGAACTCGCTTACTGGTGATATTAGCTCCACTGTGGCTGTACCCGGAGAGGTCCTGCGTGTGGAAGTCGATGGCCAGCATCAGGTAGGAGTGCCGCGCACCCAGCAGGCCCGCGCGCTGCGCCGCGTCCAATACTCGCACCGCGCACTCCGCCTCACACCAGATTATGAAATTTGTCGCGCCGAACTTCTTTAATACTAGAAGTAGGTTCCTGAGAACGACGACATCTAACCTTATAAACCGTGTACTTAGTTCGTTACTATTTGATGTGAAGAAACGGTATAAATTTGAACAGTGTTTGTAAAGCTTACCTGAGCAAAGCATCATCCTCTGGTGGCGGCAGCTGGTGGGGTATGATGTCGACGCCGGCGTTGGCCAGCCGCGCCGCGCCCCCCGCCCCCGCCTCGTGCAGCAGCACCGCGCTGCTCCAACCCTTGGCCAGGCACACCTCTGCACATGCCTGCACAACTTGCACTCAAGCTGGAATATAGCATCTTCTAGACCTACCCCTACCGAGGTACAAGACGTTTTTAGAACATAGCGATACCTGAGCTATAAGGTCAGGATCAGGCAGCAGTTGTAAGGAGAAGACGGCGTCAGTAGTAGGCGTAGAGGCTGGAAGAAACAGCGGCAGTCCTGCGCGTACCGCAGCAGGAAGTGCTTCCACGTCACCGACCAGCGCACTCAGTCCACCACCCTAATGATCCATTCCATTGCTTTACATAAATAGACACCGTTCTACACATTTGTTGGGGTATTGAATCACACCTGATCGCAAACAGCTTGGGGAAGAGCGAGTGGTTCCAATGGCTCGGCTTGCAGCAGCACCGCGCAAGGCTCCTCGCAGTCGAGAGCCGCGTCAACAGCCGCCGCCAGCCGTGCCCCTCGCTCTGGATCCGTGCATACCACGCCTACGCAAACACACACTGCACCAAGTAATAGGACTACTAACTACCCTAAGGTCTAGGCATCCAGTTACATTATGAAAGCACGTTTGAATATCAGATCCAAAATCGCACAATACTTCGCGCATATTTAAAAACACTAATATTTTGATCTTCACAAAATAGGTGAACTTTGCACTTCACTATTTTTTTTTCTATAGATAAAATCTGCTAACCGATTCGCAAGTCATCCTCCGCATAAATACAGATGATGCACAGGAGAATAACACACGTGCGTGTCCACATAGCGCGGACATGTTGTGTTCCCGCCATCCCCCCTTTTGCCCTCCCCCTTTGCTATTTCTGTCGCGTCCAGACTATACGCGCGCGTTCCCGCTCGTTTTTTTTTTAAATTGTGTCACCAGTTCCCCCCATTTCTCGTGAATGCAAACAATCAATTTAAAAATAGTATGAACTGTTTTACTTACCGCTCGAGTTTTCTTTTTTCTTTGGCATTATTACGTATGCTAATTTCATCCACGAAAAATTAAAGTTTTCTAGCATCATGTAATGGCTTCGCATATTTTTCATACAATATAGAAATATTTGATTTTGTCTAATATAGTTAATTCAATACTCCAAAATTCACCTATTCTATTTTTTTATAAAACTTTTACTAGGAACTGTTTAATAGGAACAAATGGGATGGAATTCCATTTAGTGTCATAGATAATATAATTAAAAAATCAATATTTCAATAACCTTAAATCTATTTCACATAAATTGCCTTCAACTCTACATACAATGGAATATTTTCATACATCACGGAGTAAAATATACATATATTTGTAACTATGACAAAGACAATCAAACTTTGGCATATATATTTTAGGAATTGCTTATATTGCAACATTTACATATCGTTGGGGATATATAAGTTACCCAGTTTTTTTTTTCTACTTTAATACATATTTAGCGATATCATTTCTTCTAACATAGGACATAAGGTAACTGACATTCCATATTTATTTATATTGTACATACACATTTTTCTAGTGATTTTTGCCTACAAATGCTTTTATCACCCGTAAAATTTTCTTCGTATTGTAACCTTACTTATAAACATACTGTATTAGAGTAGGTGTAGTTAAGCACACATAATCTATGCAAATTTTAAACCATATTTTTTCTAATGCAAATAAAAATTATTAAAGAGCATATTTACCATACTTTTATTTAATCTGGCAACAATTATATTAATTTAACTTCACCAAAATAATGTTAAAAAAATAACGTAATCAGAATATAGTTTAATTTATCTTAGAAAATAAATAACAATTTTACTGAAAAGTATTTCTGAATTTTTGAAAGGAAAACCTATTTACATTTTATAAAACTATATAAATCTGTAATAAGAGATTTAATAGACATATTTTTTGGATTTACGAGTTATATTTTGTATGTATACATTTCTCATCTTTAAACTAAATTCAGATTCATAAAGAAATAAGATGTATTTTACACAAAAAAGTATATAAACTATTTGCTAATTTAAAGGAATGGCAACAAAACTAAACTATCCAATCATCTATGAATTATCAAACTATATAAACAATTTTAAATATACAAAGAGACAAAATAAAAAAAAATATTTAAACATAACAAAACCATTGTGATACATAGATAATAGTTGAAAAATAAGTAAACATTTTTGAACATATGCACAATAAACAAATTAACAAATAAAGAGTTAAAAACACCATTATCTTGGTAACATTGGTTTCTTATAAGTACTAAAGTTTTTTTTTGTTTGAAAAATGCAATTACTCTTTAAAATGCAAAATTACATTATTATTATTATTATTATTATTTTTCTGCAAATATTAAATTGCAAGGTTTTCAAAATCAATGAAACACACCTTGAATATTCAAAGAAATTGTAAAAAAGATTTTGCAAAAAATGAAGCATAATTTCTTTTATAAGATTAGGGATTTCCCACTTTTTGTTGCCTACTGTTATAATACCTAGAAGGATCTGCAGGAAAGACAATATTTCTCTTTCCTATCCATACTCTTCTGTCACTTTCCCTTCTCGTCCTAATTTTACTAAGTGATGTAACTAGAATTTCATATCAAACTGTTTGCAGAAAACCTTATTTACACTTGTGTGGTCAAAGAAATCCAATCCATCCATAGACTAAGACATTGCAAACTTGATAATTGGAGCATAGATTAGCACTAATTAGTAGACAAATCATGTCTGTAATGGTTCAATAGTTCAGGACATTAGTGAACCATTGAGCTGTAGCTCAGCAAATAAATTAGCATGGCTTATGGCTCAATACACCTATAAGTATGAAAGCTACTAGACGACTATCAGATCACAGCTTTAAATTGATCTGCATGTTGAATCACTGATCAGCGACACATATGAGCTGTGAGCTGATCTACAGATCACCAATTTAAGTCAAGTTGCCCATGCCTATAAGACCACACAGTTAACTAAATTATACTAGTACCTACCTGAACAATGAACTTGTGCAATACTTACAGAATTATCACATCAATTTTAAATTCGGATACAAATATTAATATAATCACAATTATGAGAACACATCAATAGGTCGCGGGGAGACGGTGGCCAGGTTCACATGAGTGGGGCTGGCCAGCGGATCCATGTGAGATTCTATTCTCCTTGCTTCTATGGTTGCTTCTTTTACTGCCTCTTTGTATGCACCTTTTTTCTTTTTATTAAATCTTATCTGAAAATAAAATAATTTCTTATTAAATATATGTGGATAGAAAAGGTATGTCTTGCTATAAATTGAATGAACGTCTATGGTTTCTCGAAATATTCGAGTTAATTATTAATTCATAATCTTTATTTACTAGCTCTTTATTTATTTAACTCACAAGTTATATATGGAATTGTCAATTTAATGAAATCCTAACAAGTTATTGTTTGAACAGGAAAATGGTTAAGAATATTTAAATATTTTAAACATGCTACTTTGTGACAGTAAAATTATTTAACAATAAAAGTATAGAAATATGCACCTTATAATCTTCTAAAAATGGACATAAGCTGTCACATGGCATCACAGATGATGTGTTTGATGCAAACCAAGAAACATGAGCTTTAGAAGTTGGTGTGACGCTTAGCACCCGGCCCGGCCACCATGGAAACCCAACAACCTTCCCCCAAACTATATCACCTGGGGACACCCTTATTAACTTCCCTCCAATACCTTCTACAGAGTTTGCTGGGAAATCTGGCACCGTTTCATTCTCCAAATCCTCAGAATCAGTCTCTTGCTCAGTTCGTTTCTCATAGGAATTGCTGCTTAATCTCCGCAGACTAATGGACAGTTTCTGTTTTAGACAATGCTCTTTAATATTACTAAAATAATCAATACTGTCGTCACTTTTACTACTATTTTCATCTCGTTTCTTTGTTACTTTACGTTTTTTCTTGTGTTTATGTTTCTTTTCTAATGGATCAGTTATTGGGTTATCAGACATGTTATTGTGGGGTGACAATGCACCGATGTGTTTAGGTGAAGTTGTGTTCCTTTCTTCATCTTTATCTGATGTGTTTGTCTTCTTAGCCTGTCTTTTGGCTTTCTTTAAAGCTTTTTTGACAGCTTTCGAATCAGACTTTCCCATATCACAGGATACCCCTGAATCTTCATTGTAATCTCCGGTGAGTGGAGGAATTTTCACCACAGTACCCTCGCCCTCGCCGAAGCAAATTTTTAAAGTTCTCGCGTTAGAAAACAATGAGTTAAATGATGCGTCATTGTCCTTCGATTCACTTTCCTCACATACATTGTCGTGGTCAGAAACACTAACAAATGCCAGCTCGGGAGTTTCAGTCTCTTCCGATTTTTCACTTTTAACACTTTTTATTTTTTTCTCACTAATTTTGAAAGCACTTAGGTCACTTTCCTCAAGCCTCGTTAGTTTAGGAATCAGCATGCTGCTCATCAAATATTTTTTCTCGACCTTCTGTGGCGCGGAGCCACCTTGAGTAATGTCGTCATTGCTATACAGTTTCCGTTTTTTAGACACGTCCACATTTTCATTATTTTCGTTACATATCCCTTGGCAGTTTGAACACAATACCTTTCTAGGCCTTAATCTCACTGTCATCTTTTGTCTAGGCTGAGGCTTACCCTTGGTGCCGAGTTTTTTTGACTTTTGTCCATCCTCGTCTGCGTATTGAGGCTCTTGGTAAGTAAACCTTTGACTAACGGAATGCAATTTATCATCCTTTTTATCGGCGGATTCAGTCTCTTTATTAAAAGCTGGATGTAGGCTATACACGCCAAAAGGCAAATTACTGTAAAAGAATGAGTAAATCAAAGGAAACTATTAGAAATTCTTCAAAAATCGATTAATATTTTAGAAGCAATATTCCAATACCAACCCTTTACTGGAGTCCAAAAGCACACCCTGAAATTTTTTATCTTCAGTACAATACGACACAACTAGTAAATCGGCCAGTGCTTCCTCAACATTTACTAAAATCTGGGAATTCTTTTGAATCATCATATCGGCTGTTGTAACGACAGCCGCCATATTCTTTTCCCTGTCCTTGGCTCTTTGGCCATAGAGTCTTTATTTGAAAAATTAAAACAATAGACAGATCAATAGAAAATTAGAGCCACTGAAAATCGAGCATTTCAGTTCTGTAACACATATCTTATGAAGCCTGAAAGAAATGCAAACTAGAGGATCATTGCTTTTATAACTGTCTATTACATTTCTGTTCTGATACACATAACTTTAAAATGTTGAACTTTCTGCGTAAAGGGGTTAAGTTTTATCATCCACTTCCCTGAATATGAAAAATTCAGGCTCTCATAATATTTAACAAGAATTGGAAGTTTTCTCAAGTTAGTATTTATGATGTCAGTGTAAACGCTGCTTTAAAATTGACGTAACTGCTTTGCATAACTTATAGCTGAAAGCTGAAACAGTTTCCTATTGAAAATAACTGTTATTAGCGGAATCAAAGATAACTTCTTATCATATGGCTTTGACAGTTTCTATCTGACAGTTAAGTTCGTGGTGTGCAGTCGTTTTTGATTTTGCGATTTCGCAAATTTGCAGTTTTTAAGTTAAAAGTACTTAAAACGACTTAATAAAACACAGTAAGTACATAGTTTTATGTTATTAAACGTTATTTATATATTTTACTTGGATTCAGTCACTTACATAATCTGTATTACCATAAAATAAGATATAGGTTTCTTTTACAGTAACTACATTTCGTTCTATTGAATTCAAGGTATTAGATTGTAACATAATATATCAGCAATAGCTCAGGATAAAACCTTTTTCATATAGAAGTTGTAATAATTGATTACAATTTTGTCTTAAACCTTAAAAAGTTGAATTATGTAATTTAAAACCAAAATTTAGTTCTGTATAATATACGTAGAACAGTAACTTCAGATTTGACACACTGTAAATATGTTATGAATATAATCACCATTATTTAACTGTGAAACTTGAAGAATGACCTTGTGCTCAATAGATGGTATTCTAGGATAGTTGTCATGCTTGTTACAAATGTTTTTGTACACATTATTTTAAATATAAACCAAAGCATACAATTTTAGGAAGAAACATTGAAGTCAACTATTACAATGTTCTAATTTTTCATAAGAAATGCTTTTAATTTTAGTTTTATAAATATACTAGCTTTTGCCTGCTACTCCGTCCATGTGGAATTAAAAAAAAAAAAACAAAAGTTAGTACCCTATGTGTTCTTCAAGAGTATCCTTTAAACCTATACCAAATTTCATAGAAATCTGTTCACTTGTTTAGGCTACAAACTCTATCAAAAATCCATCCATCTAAACTTTCACATTTATAATATTAGCAAGAAGTATGATATCTACAGACTATATCTACAGTATTCAGGTATTGTAACCTTCCTTATGTACAATAAAGTAACTAAAGATAATGCAATGTAATATGATAATCTTCAATGACACTTTGTGTTTGTTTAAACAATTTATTTAATTTAAATTAAGTTGAACCAAAAATATAGTAAATCAATGTTAAACTGGTTGTTTCCAATTGTAATAAATCTACTGTTACATTTGCTAAAAGTCTTAAAGACTGCAGATAATAAGATAACAAAAAAAAAATGTTTGCTACATTACACTAAATATTTAAGCCCATAAAAAGCATTAAAATGAGAAAAATGCTTGTTTTCCTCTAATAACATTCTCACATCATACTTCATACTAATGTTATAAATGTGAAAGTTTAGATGGATGGATGTTTGTTAGAGTTTGTAGCCTTAATGGCTGAACGGATGTCAATGAAATTTGGCATGGATGTAAAAGATAGTCTGGAAGAACACATAGGCTACTTGGTTTTGTTTTTTTTTAATACCACGCGGACGGAGTCGCGCGCGATACCTAGTTATATCATAATTAAGACATTCATCATCTGCAGCTATATGTCCCTATCGAGGGGCTCGGAACCTACCCTAATAAGGGGTGACTAAACCATAGTCAATTCTATAGCTTCATAATAATTTCACACAATAATCAAATGGCAAGAAAGCACTACCTAGCTACATGTTTTGCCTTTACTGGCATATCTTGGCATTATAGCATTGCCAGGGTTTCAGGAAGTGGCTGCTCCATTAAAAAATGTAAAATATATATAAAAGTGATTTTTAAAAGACTACATTATGCTAGCCTAGTCTAGATCATCGACTGCTTGCTTGAGTCAATCAATTTCAATGACATGAAATAAAAATTCCAACCACGTCAATAAAAATTATATTTCTTAATGTTTTAAAAGTATTTTCTACGTAAAAGATGGATTCGTTTCCATCGTACCAATTTTACCGCAATGCGGTTTTACGTAAGGGTTATTCCAAAAGAAACAATATCAATTTTAACAATTACATTCGATAAAGAAACAACATTGTATTCGCATTTCATAGATTCAGATTTTTTCGTATTAATTAAAAAACTAGTCTGTCACAAATATTTTGGCGCGAAAATAGTTGTGTCAAAGTCTCATTTGTTTTTGTTCTTGATTTTTTTTTAATTAACAATCGCATGCTAGTCAAGTTCGTATTCGTACCAATGTTCATAGCAAACATTTTCGTATTATTTGAAAAAAATAGTCTGTCACAAATTTTTGGCGCGAAAAAACTTTGTGTCAAAGTCTCATTTGTTCTAGATTTTTTTTTTAATTAACAATCGCATGCCAGTCACGTTCGTATTGGTAACGATTCATAGCAAATAAAATCGCTATTTATATTTTAATGCTTTACAAATAGGACAGGTAAAGTTACCGTAAATACGTGTGAAGACTGACGAAGTTTTATTGTAACTACAAGGATGTTTTCTTGTAAGCGTTATTTCATTCATAACACAAATAACACTTATAAGAAATCAATATAAAATATAGAAAATATAATGTAAAAACATCGAATTTCGGAATCAAAATTTATTACATTAATAAATAAAAAAATTATAAAATGCATTAAGTTGTATAAAAAATATCTTAAAAAATGCAATTTGTCGTCGAATTGATGCCAAAAAATTCTTCAATTTAAATTCACTTTTCCTTGTATTGTACAAAAATACACGTGTATCATTAATTCCGCATACCAAGTAACAAAATTACGCAGTTCACACACGTTAGCACGAGTTAGAGACAACAGATACTAAGGAACTCTGCTAAAACCTAACATGTGTTGCCTGCATAAGGCAAAGAATATGGAATCATGAAATATGTCTGGTTTCGTTTAAAATTTCTAAAACGATATAAAAAAATTCATCATCAAGCTTTTATCAGAAAATAACATTGTTTGTCCTCAATGCAATCAAATTAATTTTAAATGAAGAGTTTATATGTGGTCGTATTTGTATTATTTTAATGAAAGAAAGTATAAGATTAATTTGTTTTATTGATAAATAAAAATATTTGTTTAATTTATTACCTTTACAGTTTTGTCTTCCTTTCACTTTGTTTATAAAACTGAATACGTGTTTTATAAACTTAGTCAACAAATATGCACTGTTTCTTTTTCCGGGCGACAGAGGTCGCTATAACATCCTATTGGATCATTGTAATCAAGTGTTGTTTATAAATTACCGATTGATTTTGAACTTAGTGCTTAAAGGTATTAGGTTCAAAATTCTCAACAAAATGTGTACATCTTTACTTATACTATAAAGAGGTAAGATTGTATTTTTGAATTTATTGCAATAATTAAAAAAATACTGGGCCGATATCAAAATATTACACCATTAAGAAGCTACGTTATCAGTGAGAGGCTATTTTTCCACGCGCACGGAGTCGCGAGCAGTAGATAGTCTTCTATACAACTCAATTAGCCGTTATGCACCGTATTCTTGTTATTAATTATTCAAGCTATGATATCTAAACAACGTTGCTTATGTCAACACGATAGCATCATGCGTTTCATTAACATTGAATCTTATCTTTGCAAGAGTAAATAAAGACATTCTATTCTAGAAATGAAATGTTTACAAAGAATATTTGTTGTAAAATAAACACATATTTTACAAACACACCCACATGGCATTATATTCATTTACGCGCAAATTATTTTTTATGATAATCAAAATTCTTTTGGAAGTATAATCGAGGACATCCGCAGTGTCCTACTTACCTCCGACATCTCTATATCGTTTTTTTTGCACTTTTGAAATAACCAATTTGGTGGCAATGATTTGCGTAAACGATGGGATAATACTACGATTATTCGTACACATTTAAAAGCGTCCTTTTGGTTATTCCAATAATTGTACCATAGATGTTGTCCACAGAAAATGACGACAGAGAAGAGAATAGATATCACGCAGCCTCTATGGGACCAGAGCACGTTCGTGGGCCGTTTTCGGCACTTCGCTTTCATCTCTAACCCCTTGCTCACTTTCGTGCCTGAGAAGCAATTGTACGAAGCCAGAGACCTCTATTTGAAGTATAAGTAAGTATAATTTTTAGTCATAACTAGCTGTTCCAGTTACCATAAAAACCTTGCTATGTTAGTGTTGGCAGCTTGTAGTTTATGGTCCTTTTCCCACGTGAAGGTTTTTTCCAATTTATTTATCCCTTAAGTTTAAAAGCGTGATAATTAAAGCCTAAAGCGTGTCGCAAGTGTGTTTTTTTTAAGAAACAAATATCCAAAAATGCTGTAATTGGTGACATCCTACGCCACAAAGTAGTGGGTGTTTACGCTTTATTATATTAGTATAGATATATAGATAGCTATTCCCTCCCCTACCCTAGTTTGATTCGTAAAGGATGAAAGTCTGATGAAAACGAGTTTTAATATACACTTGTAAAAAGTTTGTAGCCAGATTTATCTATCCACAGAGCAGGTGAGGAGCCAGAGGGCACGACGATGTCGCAGGTGGTGCGTGCCAAGCAGCTGTATGAGTCTGCCTTCCACCCGGATAGCGGAGAGCTGCAGAATGTGTTTGGCAGGATGTCCTTCCAGATGCCCGGCGGCTGCCTCGCCACCGGCGCCATGCTGCAGTGGTACAGGTTGTCAACTGACTACTTCGATTGAAGAGTAATTTTAGAATTATTTTACAGCAGAATAAGACTGTGTTTACATTGCACTGGTAGATTTCTCTATCTTTCTCTCTCTCTCTCTCTCTCTATTAGTTTCTGTTTTTTAATCCATTATATAAACAAGGCTTTTTAATAAATTTGTCAATACAGCGTGAGGGTTATAATAATGCTCTCTACATTAGTTTATTATGTCAATCTATTGAATTCAACCACAGATGTTCGCTCCGGAGTAACTCTAGGAAGAATTATATTAAAACTACCTTCCGCTCGCTATTCTATCTGCGTGGAATTAAAAAAAGTAAGTAGAGTATGTGTTCTTCCAAATCCTCTACATCTATGCCATATGTCGGCTTACTTTAAACATCCATGTAAACTTTCGCATTTGTAATGTTAAGATGTACTTGAATACCAGAACAGCGACCGCGGTGGTGTTCTGGCAGTGGGTGAACCAGTCGTTCAATGCGCTGGTGAACTACACGAACCGCAACGCGAACGCGCCGCTCAGCACCGCGCAGATGGGCGCCGCGTACGTCTCCGCTATGACCGCCGCCATGTCCACCGCGCTCACATTCAAATTCGTCATACAGAAACGTGCCACAAATCCTATTTTAGCGGTAATTATTTAACTGTCGGTATATATTTAGGTTTTTTTTGTATTGTAAGGTGGCAAACGAGCAAGCGGCCACTTTAATCCACCGAAACGGCGAAGCGACCGCTAGCCCAGACATCCGCAATTGCAGATGCGTTTACTATCTCCTCCACTGTCAAATCCAATTTTCCTTCCCATCCTTTCTTCTAAAGAAAGGGGTGGAAAGGGAAAGAGACTAAAATGAGGGCCTCCGACACCACACTTAGACTGTACGCGGAATTGCTTCCACTTCACGCCTGTTTTCTGTATGGTTGTGGTATTGCTGGGGGCGAGAAGGCCCATTCTTTCGTAGATGTTAAAGCTTGCTACCACTGTTGAATTATAGTGAATAATATTTTTGTAGGTGTTTTATTTTCTTTTATGTGTCCGTTGTTAGAGGTTCGTGCCGTTCGTGGCGGTGGCGGCCGCCAACTGGGTCAACATCCCTCTTATGAGGCAGAATGAAATTTTATTAGGTACTCTACTTATTTTATCAAAGTCCTGTTGGATCAACTTAACACTGTTTTTACTCTATTTATATTGTTTATTTAAGGTCTTGACGTGACAGACGAGCAAGGCAAAGTGATCGGCAAGTCTCAAGTCGCACCAATCAAGGGAATATCGCAAGTTGTTACCTCCAGGTGCGTTTATTGTATTATTAGATACTACCTTCTGCCCGTGACTTCATACGTGCGAATGAAAAAAAAAACGTAACAAGTACTCTATGTTTTCTTTCAGTTTATTATCTATGTTTATGTCAAATTTCATCGAGATCTGTTTATTAGTATAGGAGATACCTAATAATGAAAATTCAATTTTTTTTTTTAAGAATTTTTTTTTACGGTATTTTTAAGTTTAATGTTTTAGTCATATTTTTATATAATGTTTATATCTGGATCGTTCAGTAAGTAGTAATTAGAAGATGTATGAGTGTGTATGTATGGGTGTGCTAGGATCGTGATGTGCGCGCCGGGCATGCTGCTGCTGCCGGTCATCATGGAGCGCATCGAGCCCCGGCCCTGGATGCAGAGGATCCGGCGCGGACACATCCTCGTGCAGACCGCCATCGTCGGCATGTTGTGAGTACACGCTGTTGTAACTCACTAGCTGTAGCTCGCGACTTCGCCCGCTTCAAATTAAAATCTGCCTATGTTAGTCACAGATAAATTACCTTTCTAACGGTGAAACAATTTTTAAAATCGGACCAGTAGTTTTTAAGTTATTTCAACACATACAAAAAGACAAATTTTTCCTCTATATATGAGTATAGACTAGCTGTTCCCGTGCGGCTTCATCCGCATGGGATTATAAACTTTATTTTATTGGTTACATTTGTCTAATTCTCAATTGCAAATGTCAAAATTCAAATGCACAAATGACAAGGAAGGCCTTTGACATTGGATGACAATTACCGTTACCATAAAAACCTTGCTTCCTTAATGTTGACAGCTTGTAGTTTATGGTCCTTTCCCACATGAAGTTTTCATCCAATTTATTTACCTCCTAAGCTTAATAGCGTGAAAATATAGCCTAAAGCGTGTCCTTAGTGTAGGGCTATTTATTTAACAAAGAATTATTCAAATATATGCTGTGATTTCTTACATCCTACGCCACGAAGTAGTATGTTTACAATCTTGCTTCTTTGCTGCTATTGACTTGTATTGCCTCTTGTATTGACTCGCATGTCTGTTCTTTTCCAATATGTCCATCCTCTATATTAAATAGCGTGAAAATATACAGCCTATATATAACCTGTCGTAAGTGTAAGGCATTTTATTTTAAAATAGATAATTAAAAAATATTCTACGATTGCTGACATTTTACATAATAAAGATTGTGTTTTTTTAATTGTATTAGATTATTCCTGTTTTTAACAATTTATAACGTATTTTCCAGTTTAACATTCATGGTGCCCACAGCGTGCGCGCTTTTTCCGCAGAGATGGTAAGTACAGTTAGGGAATTACACGGTTACATACTAAACTTACCTCGTCCTTTACAATTAGACAAACTATACAAATAACCAATTACATGGCGAGTTACACAATTATTCAATAAATATTTAAAACTAGCTTTCGCCCGCGACTTTGTCCGCGTGGGATTAAAAGAACAAAAGTGGCTAGACTATAAGTTCTTCCAGATATTCTTCCCTCTACATTTGTGCCAAATGTTATCAACATCCATTTACCTGTTAAAGCTACAAACTCTAACATCCATCCATCTAAACTTTCACATTTGTAATATTAGTAAGATTTAGGACCTGTTGCACCAAATTGTAAATTGCCTAATAACAATCGAACATGTAAAATATGTAATGGAAATATCAGATTTTGTTCCCTTATCTGATAGTAACGTAATTTTTAAGCTATCTAAGCCTCTATCAGCCAGTTGTGGGACAGGCCCTTAGTGTTATTGCTTATTGTTGCATCTCAACATGTATTGAAATTACTATTTTGTAGTTGGTACACCACCAAATTCCCCGATTGTACATATTTATATAAACCTTTTAAAAGTAAAAGAAAAATATAATAAAGTATTCTACTTCTATTGCCTGTATATCTGTATACATAACTTTATTTTCAAAAAGAATGAAAGAGATAGCAATGTTTTTTATTTGTTTAGACATTGTTTTTTGTTGGTACATCGCCAAATTACCCGATTGTACAAAAAAATTATAAAAACATTTTTAAAGTGAAACAAAAATTCAATGATTTCTGTTGCCTATTCTTAAAGAATGAAAGAGATAGCAATCTTTTTCGTTTGTTTTGGCATTTGTTTACAAAAAACTGTTACTATTTTGCGTTTTTTTTATTATTTTCTTGTATATTTTTTACAGCAAACTCTCAATAGATACTATCAAACGTTTTGAGAAGGAGAATTATGAAGAGATAGTGAAGAACACGGGCGGTAACCCGCCACAGTATGTTTATTTCAATAAGGGATTGTAGATAAATAAGTTTAATTCACGTTGTATAGAAATGCAATAATTTAGCAAGAATAGTACGAATTATTTGTGTTGTACACTCGCGTACACAAGTGTCAGAATTTTTTTACAGTTGAAAAATTAAAAAGTATAAAATAGATTCCAGTTAAAAGGTATTGTAAAAATAAACGGTTATTACTGAAATTGATTGATCCTTTTGATGTTATAAACAGTTGTTCCTTTCACAATATATTATGCGACAGATATAAAAGCAATATAAATATGTACTCTCTTGTATGAACAGAATACTTGTTAGTACAGAATACAAGAAAATTTTAAATCATCAGATTTCGATTTTCATTCCAATAAAAATAAAACACTTTTAATGAGTTTTTAAAGAAATGACAATATATTTCAGTTTGAATGATTTAGCGATGAAAATCCATGTTTCTTTTTGACGTTTATACTCGTAGTAATCAAATCTATTCCAAAACAAATAATCGTTTTATTTTTACAAAAATAGATAAAAAGACACTTACTGCCATTATAAAAAGCAATAATGAAGTTGTGAATGACTGTACTTATATTAAATAAATGTTGCCACTAGATGTATTTGTTGCCAATGTTATAAAATATTCACTAGATTAAAACGATTTCTATTGCGGATTTGATGCAAAAATAAGTTGATTTTTTATATATGGATGGCAATATTTTTTAGCAATTACTAAGGGGAAATTAATATTGTGCTTTTTTGTCTTTTTTGTCAACTGTTGTATTTCTATAGTATTGTTGATGTTTCCAAACCGCTTCAAGTATTATTAAATGTTTGTTATTTATTGCAATAAGATCTCTGTTTTTGTAGGAGACAGTTTATAAAATTAACATTTTTTTTTATGATGTATTAGATTTTTTTAGTTAAAAATGGTTCCTAACTCATTCTGACTTGTGTTTTCATAATTGCGAATGTTTTGTGAATTTGTAATAGAGAAAAAATTGTAAAAAAAAACCTCTGATTAGAAAAAAATCTCTCATTTTTTATTTTGTTGTATTCAAATAATTTGGTAAAAAAATGTCTTGTTGTTAGGTGACATTGTCAATTATTGTTAAATATTTTGTGCTTCAGAGTCTAGTTCTTTCTATTGTATATTTTTTTGTAATTGGGAAATGTTTTATAGGATATTTTTGTTGTCGTATAGATTTTTTAAAATTGTTCAGTTTTTTTTGTCTTAACAATTTGCAATTACGTACGAATTTATCCTGTATACATTCCGTTATGATATAAATTAATCTAATTTTTTTATTGTTTATTTTTTATGTGCTTTTTGCTGATTTTTTTAGATTCAATTATTAATCACTTATTCCTCATATAAAGGATCTGAAATATTTCGAACAAATAAAACAAAAATGTTTATTTTAATGTAAGACAAGATTCCTATTTTTTTTTTTTTGCTTTTTTGTAATATTTATGCTGTAACTAAGTAAACCGGTAACTTATCAACTTTAAAAGACAGCGCATTTTATAATTTGTAATCTAGTCTTTATTTTTTGAGATCGCTCAAATTTTGTTTATCTTGAATCTGTGTTTATATGTTTTTTTGCTTTTTTTGCGTGTTTTTAGTAATAAGATAATAGTATTATTTAGTATTGGTTTGTGATGGTGAGTGACAATAAAATCGTTACAAGAAATTTTTTTTTTTTTTATTGCAATTGTACACAGAACACCTTTTGTAAGGACTTCGAAAGGATTTTTTGGTATTTTTTTTTGAAATAGTTTAAATAAAACTACAGTAAATATAATAAACTTTTATATTCGATGAATACTTATTTATATAAATGAAGATTAAACATTTTGCACTGAAGTCCAATCGAGAACTAAAATAATATTTATAATATAATAAATTACAATTTAAATTTACAATAAGCTTGTGTATAATACAAGGTAAGGCACCGGAATATATGAGTATTAAGTTATTACGAACAAAGTATTTTTGTTACAATGTATTTATCAATTAAACCTTTCGATTTAATATTAATTCAGCGTTAAAATTCTTAATAGAAATAAAATTAAATGTCTTAAGGTGCCTAGAATATTGTAAAATCTAAACATGGATGCCTTATACGTATTTGTGCGTCTATCTACAATTTGCAATTCCACATGCGTCAAATAAAATTATGATATACAAAATAACAGACTTGAATGATTAAAGATTTTAGAATCCGGCTCGAGGGACCAAATAAAATTCATCACGGCATCCAATTAGTAACTTATATTACACAAATTATACACTAGTATACATTTGCCTTCTCTAGCAATACAGATGCGTCGCACATTGCTTTGGCCGTGGACCGGACCAAGAACATCAAATGCAATTGCTCAAAGACGTTCAATTGAACTCTTGTTCTCACTAAACCGTGTAAAACAGTCGCTCGCTCTAAATCCAACCATCTCTGTAGAGAAAGTTCCCTTTCTTCTACTGGAACACCTTGGACAACATCTAAAGGTCCCCATAACATGAATTCCAGGACAGATTTAGCCTGGTTTAAAGACACAGCTCGTTCTTCCTGTAACACTTCCTTCAGGACTGGTGTTAATTTCTCCCCAGGAAGTAGGATGTCGACAGCTCGTATCGCACATTTGCAGAGGGAACTGTGGTGTTCATCTTCGTTCGATTTACTGCTGTTTATCTCGTCACTCAAACTGAAATACAAATGAGAAAATTTTAATTTGCCAAAGGAAAACCGCTGCTGTCTAACTAGCATTTGCCAAGGACTTCTGCGTGGAATTAAAAAAATAAGTAGCACATGTGTTCTTCCAGACTGTTTTATAATTATGCCAAATTTCATCGAGACCATTTTGCTGTTCTAGAGATACCTTCTAATCTATCAAAGTACCAAGATTTGAGGTAAAAATAGAATATTGCAGAATTTTTGAGAAGCTTTATTTAGTTGTAATTGAGTATTCTTACCCCTGTAAGACGCAAAGTCGTCCATAAGAGTTAGTCTTCGGCGCCCACAAGGAGTTGAGTCTATCGTCAGGCGAAGGCAGATTCAAGGTACTGCTATGGGAGGTGAGGGGTTGGACCTCTTTGAGGGATATAAAGGAGGTGAGGGCTTCTGATATCTCCTCGACGCCGCGCGCCTGCAGACACTTGAGGCCGTTGATGAGCTGCAGCAGCATGAAGATAGCCTCGTGCGTCTGCTCGGTGGAGACTAGTTGGTGGTCTTTGCTGTGACCCTCGCCGCTGTGCAGCGACTCCCCGTATGACTGCAGCGTGTCTACCTGCGCGTGACCTAACACTACGATCGTTGCTGCAAAGACAAAACTTTAGGTAAGTGTTAACAGTTGGACAGTTAATTGAATGTCTAAGATGTTTTGTTAGTTTGTTTTGTGAAGTTTTAATTCTCTTTTATCATTATCAGCCAGCCCTTGTCCTTACGGAGATTCGGAACAGTATGTTGTACGTCTCTACCAGTCATATCTGGATTCGCTCTCTTCTTAATTTTTGTCAATGATAATATTCAATTATGTGTCATTTATGTTACATAATTCAAACAAGTAAATTAAGCATCACACAATCAATACTCTCTTCGGTCTTCCCCTACCTTAGTAGCCATCCACATTCAATCTTAATGTTTTCTTGTTTACATGATTATATCTGACCATATTTATAGTAACAAGGTCGTCTCAACAATATCTTTACACTACTAGTTATTACTAAAGTTATGACTAACTGTGGATAATGAATAGTTATTGTCTAGCTAGTCTACATGTTAACATAAAACAGTTCATTACATGATTGTTCTACATATAATAGTTTTTGTTTTAGCCTAATAATATCGTGATTTCCATACATCTGTACTTCAAATTATAAAGACATTAAGAGCGCGTGCACGTCTTTGACTAAACTCCCTCAACTGATGTGCGATTTTTTCGTAGCCAATTCAACTGTTTAGTTGTACAACTAAAAATAGAGTAGTGTGACCTCCATATAGGCTCAAAGGAATCAAAGTACTACTAAACAGTTCTGTGATAGTTTAGTCAATGGCGTGCTCTTAAAGTGAAGATATAAAATTAATACGGAGGTTATAGCCAAGTGTATAAAATTACTAATTAGTCAAACGGTATTGGTATTCACATCTGTTATCAACTACCCTTATCTATCCAAAACCAACCTTGCACCAGATCCTCTCCTTCTTCTCCGAACTGCTGCATCGGCACCAGATCACAGAACTCTGTTACAGCATTCAAGCTGAGGGTCGGTTGTAGCGATTGCTGGCACACCAATTGCGAAGCCAGCTGCTCCTTGTACAGCATTAATGTGACTTGTACTGGGCCCTGGTTGGAATTCCACACCGCGGAGTGGAACACGCGCTTGCCAGCTGTCAGACCTTTACTCTGTGACTGGATAGTGAAGTCGCTCCAGCGTAAATTCGTGCAAGCTTTTAGTCCTCGGAGAGACGATTGCATGGTTGCACTTTGTTGTACCTGAAACAATGCATCGATACATGCATAAAATATATGCAGAATACATTACAAAATGGTATTAACATTGATCAGTCCATGTCTAAAAGTTCAAAAATGTTTTGCAGGCGAAGAAGGCTAAGAACTCGATATATCAAAATATTTCGTATGAATATATATTTTTTTATACTATAAGATGGCAATCGAGCAAGCGGCCACCTCAATCCACCGAAATGGAAAGCGACCGCTGTCCATAAACATCCGCAATTGCAGATGCGTTGCCTATCCTTAATTGACGGAGGAGGAGACGCACATAAAGAGGACATTTCGCCTTCCTATGTGTCTCCACCGTCAAATCCACTTTTCCTTCCCATCCTTTCCTCTTAAGAAAGGGTGGAAAGGGAAAGGGACTAAATCCTCCGGAACCACAATCTTCAGACGAAACACAGAATTGCTTCCACTTCACGCCTGTTTTCTGTGTGGTCGTGGTATTGCACCGGGCCAGTCGGCCAATTCGTGCGAAGATGTTAAAGCGGGCTCTACCACTGTTTGAATAATATAAAATGGTATTTTATTTTGATATGATACATTTGGTTATAACATCAATTCCCTTTTATAATCAAATAGATTTTAGTTTGATTGATGTAAATTTGATTATTGAGGACATGCGGGCCCCACATCCTTTTATACTGAGTTGGGTTTGTTATTTATTATTTGTGGCAGATGAAGTCAAAAGTGCTGTAATTTAAAAAATTGTCTTTATCAAAAGAAAATCGTTTAGCAGTTATTATGATGGACCGTTTTTCTTACGTTGTTTATGATAAAATGTTACCTGTTCTAAAACCTGTGCTAATGCTTCATGGTTAGCAATAACAACAGCTCCGTAGTTATCTTCAAGATTCTTATGTACAATGCTCCTGCCTTTTCTGACTCGCAGTTTATTAGTCGTGGTTTTTGGCGTCATCTCATTCTGGTAATCATCGTTCGTGGATCCGTCCATATTGTCATTCGAACTATAGAAGCTGTAAGGTGAGTATATTTCTGATTCTGTCTCGCTGCCGCAGTAAGGGATAGACGATCTGTTGAAACTGTTGTTATATTTAGGATATTCGGTGTTACTGTCTTCGTTTTTGGTATCGGATCTGATGTCGATTTTTACTTCTCTCGGTTTGATCGCGGCGTCGCATTCTGGTGAACTCGAACGAGCATGGTGTACGTATTCGTAGTCACTGTCGCTATTTTTAGCCGAATCACAAGTCTCTTCATCGTATTTGCCAGAGTTGTAGACATCATCGTAGTTGTTAATAACTGTATCGTTCGTAGCTTGGACTAGCTCTTGAGGTTCGTCTGATTCGTCTTTGTCGTCGTCTAAAGGCGTCCTGCGCTTCAGGAGCTCGAGGTGAGATTCCCGTTCGCGCATACTCGCTGTCCGTTCGGGTTTTCTCGGTGCCAGAGCTGACCTTATCTCGCCTGGAATGTACAATGGTTTACTTTTAAAATCAAATCAAAATATTACAAATTATACGGTATCTTAGACAATTTATTACAATTTTATTATTATAGTAGAATATAACAATGTTAATGTTGTGTCTATGGCGCATTTTAATTATTTATTAATATTATACTTGCAAAGAGTACTTTTTAAACAACAATGCAAAGAAAAAATATTATAAAAGTATTACACAAACTACTAGCATGATTAAACAAACAAAACTTCTTACCTAAATTAGCATAGATGCTATCGGGCTTGTTTATAGCAGGCGTCCAGGTTTGTTGTTTCTGTTTCTTCTGCAAGGCAGCTGACTTGGGCGGGGGAGGACGCGCTGGCGTGGGCACAGGCGTAGCGCTCGCATCCTCGCTCGACAGCCTTGGCGGCGGCGGGGGCTTGTTCACGATCTTCGGCGGCTCCACATCAGTCGCGGAGCTAGACCCGCTGTAAATCGACACGTCGTCGTGACTCATGCGACGTAAGCTTTCCGAAATTTCGCAATTCGATTTCACAACTTCGACATTTGATCCGTTAATGTCCAGCGGATGGATGATGACGAGTCGTGGCTTCGGCTTCGGCGCCAGGTCGTATATTTCCTCAGTCTTGTGCGGCGACACTTTCGTAACAGTCGCTACACTTATTTCCTTCTTATCTAAATCTTTTGACGAACCAATACGTAACAGCTTTTTGATTGAAAACTTATACTTCCCTTTACGCTTTTCATCTAGAAGCAAATTGTCATGTGAGAGGGATATACTCCGTCTAGGAGCCGGTTCTGGTTGCAAGTCTTTCTTGTCTATGTCTTCGACTGTTCTTGTTTTTGGCGTCGACATTACGGCTCTTTCCCTTTTTTCCATTTCCCTAACGACCGGAGAATCTGATTTCATATATCCACTTGGATTTCTTTGGTACAAATTATTTGGAAATTCCTCTGTCGGAGATAACGGTGGTGTCGGTGCCTTGCGTTTGCTCAGGCTGTTCAGCGATACGTCGCTATCTTGTTTCGTTAACACGGGTTTAGCATAATATATGGATTCTGTTTTTTGTTCATGAATTTCTGAACCATTGTGCTTTTCTTCGTTTACATGTTTATTCACTTCGTCTTTTTTTGTGGAATGCATTTGCATAATTTGATGGGATGATGTCACAGACTTCTTAGTTGTTTGCTTAATAACTGGTTTGGTTGGGACTTTCGGTTTTTCTGGTACAGTTGGCTTAGATGGCATAATATCGGTAATCATTCCATGCAGGAAGGATGGTCGCGGGTCCATAGTAGGTATGGGACTGCTGGGCAGAGCCGGTGCTTCACTTGGTTCATCGGGATCCGCTCTTCCATCAGGCTCGCCAGCTAATTCTCTACTGGCTTCAGCAGAGAATACAGTATCAGGTTGCTTAGGTATAATCGGAGGCATATCGATAATCGGAGTCTGGAACGTACTGTAGCCACTACCAGCTTTTCCATCGGCTTTCCTTAGATGCCCAATAGGAGACATTTTCATTGTTTTCTCTGATTCATTAAACACCTTTATCTTAACGGTTTCCTCACACTTGTGTGTTTCAGAGAAGTGTCCGCTATCGTCGTTATCAGAATCGGTTCGTGCGCTAAAACTGTCATCGTCTGATGTCAGCGAATTGTTAGCGGTGGAATTCAAAGTACCTACAGCGGAATCTACGCTACTGCTTTCGATATTAATTTTACAAAACTTAAATTCTGATCTGCTTAGGTTCACTTTAGGTCTTTCTTGGGTTTTTATTAAGGGAGATTTTCTTACAATGCCATTTTTACGCGACTCAGTCATTTCTTTCTTCTCAACTTCGTCTTGCATACTTTCTTTTCTTTTTTCTTCGATAACAGTAGGTTTATTGTTGTCTTTATGGTTTAAGCTGAGCTCCGTGGTGCTCATTCTGTTTTGTTGCAATGTCTCTGATATTTCTTCCAACAAAGATTTCTCTGTACAAATGCCTTCAGTAGATCGAACGCTTTCTGAAGCAATTATTGTTTCCGATTCTTTAATGTAAGACGTCAGAATAATATTAGTTTTGTAATTGTTTGCCGCTTCTTCGGTTTGTGTTTCATTTATATGAATGACGGCGGGTTTGCGAGTATGCGTTTTAATATTGGGTCCCTTATTTTCTTGGCCGAAAGGTGTCACGGACACCATTAATGTTTTCTTCTTGCCATCAGAATCTGTTTGCATTTTGCCAAGCAACAACGATGTGTAAGACTTGGCAACTGAATCTCCCAGTAGATTCGCTTTAACTGTGTTGAAATCTGTATTGGTTTTTGTAATCTTGTACAATTCTCTTTCTTCTTCTGTATCTGGGAATACGTCTTCGTCGTCATTTTCTTCTGACATTTCGAATTCTTCTTCGTCCGACCAATCATCGCCTCCGAAACCTATAACACTGCACACTTCTTCTGGGAATCTAACATTACGCTTGTTCTTCTTCTTTGGAGTAATCTTTAGAATACTCGGTGGTGTTTTCTTGAAGAATGTACTTCTGTTTTGGAACGGGGTCGCGGTGTATTTGCTACCTTCCGTCGTCTTTTCCTGCTTGACGTGTTCTTCTCGAGATTTGAAGCAGTTCGAGCAGAAATCCTTCTTCCACGCATTTTGCACGAAGCTGTGACATACTGGTGACATTTTGCTCTTCGTGTAACGTCTGTTGATCACATAACCCGCATTCTGGAAACAGAGAAAACATAAATTTTATTTTTTACTTTTAAACGGTATTGGATATGAATATTTGAGCAATAGAAATTTACAGTTCGATTTACAGCTATAAATACATTCTTTCAACATACTCTGTGATACTTTATTGTTTGTTTTTAACTACATTCTCAATACTTGTAGGTTTTATAATCGTATGGTACGTGTATGCACTAGGCACTGCGAGATCGCGTGCAAGCGCGCTAATCTAATCTTATATAATTACACAGTAGCTATTTTACACGCTAGATCGAATTAGGATTTTATTTTATTCGGTATTTATGTAAATTAATTAATTATAATTATATAGAGTACCTTTATTTGCTTAGATTTTGTAAGCTTTATTCGAGAATATGGGCTATTGGGTATTGTATGTAATATTACTATTGGAGGACTTTCTCCGCTACCGTTAGTGTCTTAGAGCGGGCGCACACCTTTGACTGGACTATCGCACAACTATTGTGTGCATGTCGATTTTTAATTGTTTCGCTGCCAATTCAACTGTTTGCACAACTAAAAAAAGAATAGTGTTCACATCTCCACATAAGGTGACAGGAGTGGAAGCGCGACTAAACAGTTGTGCGATCGTTTAGTCAAAGGTGCGCGCCCGCTCTTACACACCGTTAGCATGTCATGCTTTCTCTTTAAACATTGCGATGTCAGTACTTTACATATGAATTGTCAATTCACGAGAAATATATGCGTGGCAAAGTGCCGATGGACCGTGAAATGTTTGTATGTTGCGTACAAATGATACTTATCTAGTCAGTACTAGTGTTAGTCGAGGTGGGACAGCCCAGGGCGCCGAACATGTATTGCAGGGGGCGACGTAGAAATCTCAAAGGGCGTCAATAATGTTACAATAGGTACTGCATATAGTAAATACATTATTGAAAGGAATAGACTTGAGACTGTGTTGTTTGGCGCCCTTTCTATAGATCGCCCTGGGCGGTCACCCAATCGCCCTTCGCTAACGCCCAGCACTGTTAATAATGGCCTATTATAAGCCTATTTTACATATCATATATGCGAAAGTTTAGGTGGATGGATGTTTGTTATTGTAGCCTTAACTGCTGAACGGATCTGGATGAAATTTGGCATAGATGCAGAACATAGCCTGGAAGGACACATAGGCTACATATTTTTGTTGTTTTTTTTTAATTTCACTTGTAGAGTCGCAGGCAAAAGCTAGTCTTCAACGCTTATGCTTGTTACTTTTGTTTATTTAAACAAGTTCCATAATGTACTTCTTTATTGTTTATTCGTAGTCAATTGTTTGCAATCACGACCTTCTTATGTCAATTTCTAGCACAAGAGATCGATTACCCATCAATATGTGCCATATGGTGGCAATTAATAATTGACAATGGAATTTATATCTTACCGTATACAACTCAAAGTATAATTTACAATGTAACATAATACGCTTTGTCATTGCAGTAATAGTTTATTACCGAGTATGTGGAACAATTTTCCTATACAAGACATGAATATATTCATTACTAGGCCATATAAAATGTTAAAAGAGTGATGGTCTGGGAAACTGGCAGTTCCATCTTAAAAGCTGCAATGGTTTGAACATTTTGAAACTAGTTGCGAATTAAAAATACAACGCAGGTTATAAATGTGTCTTTACGAGAAAAAGTCAGTAATACACAGCGTGTTTCTTTTTGCACCATTCACTGCTATCTAGTTAGTTACTTGTATGAAGGCGGAGTTTGAATTGATGCAATGAACAAGGCAATTTATCCTGAATTTATCGGAACACGGACTGTACATTACAACCTTTCTAAGCATAAAAGGTGACATAGGTTAACCTATTTTATTAATCAAGTAAAGCCAGGCCGTTGATTTTTTTTAAATGCGAATAGTGTAGAAAGAGAAAGATTGCGTAAAAGGATTACGTGTGATAAGGATAGATGACTATTTTTAACGTTATTGAATACAAAGTTGCATATTCACTAACTTACGTTCTAGACTAGTTTTTTTGTAATTGCATGTGAGACTGTAATCTCACGCATCGATGGAAATGCAAAAATAAACAAGTAACTACTATTGTTTAATTATAGCTAGCGGATTGAATAAGTATGCCATAACTGTGTTATAATGATTCGATCATTTACTCGTCTAGACGACTATATAAGATTTGCAATACTAAAGAGTTTTTACAGTGGTAGAGCCCGCTTTAACATCTTCGCACGAATAAGCCGGCTCGCCCGGTGTAAGACCACAACCACACAGAAAACAGTCGTGAAGTGGAAGCAATTCCGCGTTTCGTCTGATAAGTGTGGTGCCGGAGGCCTAATTTTAGTTCCTTAAAAGTGGATTTGACGGTGGAGGAGACGCATAGGAACGGGAAATGCCCTCTTTATGTGCGTCATCTCCTCCGTCAATTTAGGGTACGCAACGCATCTGCAAAATTACCACACACACAGTTAAGTTGCTAAGCAATGCTAGTGGGATTTCTGTAGATTGAGGGCTTGCACACACTATTGACTGAACTATCGCACAACTGTTTAGTCTCTTTGATTCCTATAAGCTTATAAAAGTGAGCACACTACTCGATTTTTAGTTAACTAAACAATTGAATTGACTGCGAAACAATCGACAATCGCACAACAGTTTTGCGTTAGTTTAAGGCCTGCTCTTAGCAAGAGATAAGATTAGTCTGTTATCTTTAAGTATCCATTTACTAAACTAGTATTAAAGGGGCCAGCTGAAAACAAGCGCAGAAACAGCCTGTACCCTCCCTGCATTAGATGAGCTTGCCACCTTTTGCCACATTTTTTTTACTAGCTCTAATGTTGTATATTGGATGTCATATGTAGCTTTTTTGTGGCAATAAAAATCCTATTTATTTATTATTATACAAAAACACAAATGAAATATATGCACAAATATGGCCCCGCAAAAACAATATCACTGGTTCGTCTACTGGTGTTACAATATGATGTAGAGTGTAGTAATGTTATAGTGGAGGGTAATATAGTTATATAACATTTTTTTTGTAAAATTAAATAAAATACATACATAACATACAATATCGGATTTCCAACTTTATGGTTTCAATATAGAATATTCACACAAAGAATGGTTGCATGTCTTTGTTCGCGCGAGGTCGCACATTGATTGTATCCGCGTTCGATGGATTATCACTTACTTTGTTCTTATTGGTTCACAACTCCGTAACACACTGGGGTAGGCAGAGATTATGATATGAGATTATGATTACGGGTGTATTTAATACCTGATGAACTATCTATATAAACTTTTATATGTATATATTTACGAATGGGCCGGCTCGCCCGATGAAATACCACGACCACACAGAAAACAGGCGTGAAGTGGAAGCAATTCCGCGTTTCGTCTGATGAGTGTGGTGCCGGAGGCCTAATTTAAATCCCTTTCTCTTTACCACCCTTTTCTTATAAAGAGAGGATGGGAAGGGTAAGTGGATTTGATGGTGGAGAAGATGCATAGGCAGGCACAATATCCTCTTTGTGTGCGTCTCCTCCTCCGTCGGATAGGGGTAGGCAACGCATCTGCGATCTCGGATGTCTATAGGCAGCGGTCGCTTCGCCATTTCAGTGGATTCAGGTGGCCGCTTGCTCGTTTGCCACCTTATATTATAAAAAAAAATATATGTAATTCTATTAGTTTCTAAGAGTCTATTTAAATTTGGGTAATGGAAATTCTAGAACTTATTTTATAAGTCTACACAAATTGTAGACAATTTTCCAAGTACATATTGCTATGTTGTCCGACCATGGCCTACATTGCACATTTTTACTAAATATTTAATTCATATTAAAATCCCCGTTATTGTTACAAGGAGACATGATAAAATCCTTTTATAACAGCTGTGTTGGACTGTGCCGAATTGTAGTGAAGGCCGCGCGTGTTCATTGTAGAAGATTGTATGGAGTTTTGTTCAATAGTGTCGTGACGTCTGTGTTTGCGGAAATCGATAACAATGTATCAACTTTTTCCAATACTTTATTACTATTGGACCTTGCAGTTTGTTCTCGTCTTTAATTGATTTAATACTTGAAATATGTTAAAATGTTTATTGATATTGCCAAAATTAAATACTTATAATAAACAATAATTCTACTTTAAAATGTTATAAAGAGTACTTTAACATTCAAAAATTATAGTTTCTTTGATATAAATATCACAAATTATCCAAAAATTTACCATCTCTTGCTTAAAATTTAAGTTTTTTCAACACGCGGAATCGATATTAGGGACATCACTAATCAGATTATCGGGGTCATTATACTGGCAGCTGGAAATAGTTGTGTCGAGGTGAAGCCGACAAAGGTGTTATGGGTACATCACTAGTGCCATCTGTGGGCATTGTCTTCAAAAGCAAATACTATACTTGGTCTACTTATCGCTTATATCCATTGTTATAATCACTTTTTCTTGTTATTTGAGTTATTAGATTTCAGTAAACAATTCGGTTCAAATTTTGTATTGTGGAAAAGGCGAGGTTATTACCACGCCAAGGGAAGTCCGTAGTCTCTGTCTACCCATGGGTTAAGGGCATCAGTGATTGTTGAAAATAGATTATGGTAGTGGTAGAGTATAACTACCACTACCATTACAAGTATCCAACGACATTTTAGCAAGATATAAAGGGCAAGAATTTACGTGAAAGTTGAATAACTGAAATGCTTACAAAATATAAAACGCAAGTACTAGCAAGAGAGACGTCTAAGGGCCGTTTAAGTAGTGAATAATTTACACTTATGGTCTTATATGTACCTTGGTTCCCCGTTTATTAAAATAAATGAAATGGGTAAACTTTTTTAAAATGATTTATAAATTTAAACTGTCGTTGTTTTTACAAATATAATGTTTATAAGATACGGGTTTCTTACCACGATTGGGTTGTTTTACCTACCAATATTTCGACACAGTTGTATGCGCCATGTTCACAGATCGATTTAAATACTAGGAGCTAAAACCCA